CCTTCTCCATCACAAAACATCTTCTCGTTGTTGTTCCTCTAGCTCACCTGTTTGCAAGCTCGACAACACCGCTACTACACACACACATACTCTCTCCATCGACAGACGACCTTGGGAGAGCAGCTAGTCTACCCGCATGTCTCTGCCGTAGCCGATACTCAGCTTCACCTGCCATCCAGCGGAAACAGGGAACCGGTATCGTTCGCTTTCTTGCGGCCTCGTTTCTGCTACGCATCGCCATCGACTTGCCGGAGCCAAGTCTCGCCGTCGTTCCGCCTCCGTCAGACAACCAACCAAGAACAATCTCCCATCTGGGACATTCGCCGTCTTTTGCAATTTCGACCTTAGGCTGCGTCCAACAAGCCATTGCCCACCATGACGGTCTTTATCTGCTCTCTGTAAGTCGGGCCGTCACAATCGAGGCTGCTCCCTCCTTGATATGCCCGTCTCTCCCTCTCTTCTTTTTCTGCCTTGCTGGTAGCCGCGGCTACGACATCCACGCTACTGAGGCTAATGCACGTCATCTTGCTTTGTTGCTTCTCGCAGCTTTCTCCCCAAGACGATCCAGTTCAACCTGCCGGGCAACTCCCGTCGTCGTCACACGCTCACGAAGCGCCAAAAGGCCTTTGAGCCGCCCAAACCGCCCGCGGTTCCGCCCGTGGATGTCCAGCCCAGCCTCTTCGCACCGCGACCAGACATCACCCCGCCGCATACCCCGGTCGACGAGCCCAACTCTCCCGATCCGTTTGCCAACGAAGATGGCTTCCGTATCCAGTTCCCGCACAGCGACCAGTCGCCCACCGACAAGAACAGGGTCTGGGGCGGTCGTGCGGACCAGCCCAAGTCTCGCGCCAGCACGCCGCCGCCGGCCGACATCTTCGAGAGCAGCCGCACCCTGCAAAAGGCCACCGAGATGGGCCGTCGAGGCATCGACAAGCCCCGCACGCTGATGCGTAGCGAGAGCCACGACAAGGTCTTTGCCACTGCTCAGTGGCGCGTCGTCAACGCCGACCAGGGCAATGGCGGTCTTCGCAACGCTGCCCTGGCCGCCGCTCGCGACGGCAAGCTCTCCGACTACACCTGGGTCGGCACCCTGGGCATGCCCACCGACGCTCTCGAGGGTACCCAGCAGAAGCAGGACATTGAGGATACGCTGGCCACCGAGTACGACATGCTGACCGTCTTTTGCTCCGACAAGGACTTTGACGGCCACTACACGCACTTTTGCAAGCAGATGCTCTGGCCCGTCTTTCACTACCAGATCCCCGACAACCCCAAGAGCAAGGCGTACGAGGACCACTCGTGGAAGTACTATGTCAAGGTCAACCAGGCCTTTGCCGACAAGATTGTCCAGAATTGGAAGCGCGGCGATGTCATTTGGATCCACGACTACCATCTGCTGCTTGTGCCCGGCATGATCCGCAAGAAGCTGCCCGAGGCCAAGATTGGCTTCTTCTTGCACGTTGCCTTCCCCTCGTCCGAAGTCTTCCGCTGCTTGGCTGTCCGGAAGGAGCTCCTCGAGGGCATGCTGGGCGCCAATCTCATTGGCTTCCAGATCCAGGAGTACACGAGGCACTTCTTGCTCACCTGCAGCCGCATCCTCACCGTCGAGGCCACGCCGGAGGGCATCCAGCTAGAGGACCGGTTCGTCGATGTGGTGCACAACGCCATTGGCATTGACCCCGTCAGCCTCAACAAGCACCGCGAGGAAAACGAGGTCAAGAAGTGGTTGGCCGTCATGCAGGAGCGCTACCAGGGCAAGAAGCTCATTGTTGCGCGAGACAAGCTCGACCACGTGCGAGGCGTCCGGCAGAAGTTGTTGGCATACGAGCTGTTCCTGAATAAGAATCCGGAATGGCGCGAGAACACTGTCCTGATCCAGGTGGCGCTCTCTGCGGGCGAGCCTACCGAGCTGGATGCCGCCGTCTCCGACATCGTTACGCGCGTGAACTCGACGTGGGCAAACCTGGCTTACCAGCCCGTGGTCTACCTCAAGCAGGACATTGACTACGCCCAGTACCTTGCCCTGCTGTCCATTGCCGATGCGCTCATGATCACCAGCCAGCGTGAAGGCATGAACCTGACCTCGCACGAATATCTCTTTTGCCAGGATGGCAAGATCTTCCCCAACAAGAAGCACGGCTCCCTCATCCTTTCGGAATTTACCGGAACCTCGTCGCTGTTTGGACGCAACGAACTTTCGGTGAACCCCTGGGACTACCGCCAGTGCGCCGACGCCATCAAGCAGGCGCTGGAGATGAGCGAGGAGGAGAAGACGCGCCGGTGGGAGAAGCTCTACCAGTCCGTTGCGCACCAGACGGGATCGCACTGGTTCAGCGAGTTCCTCGGCCACCTGGACCGTTCCTACGAAGAGCAGCACAAGCGCGACCAGACGTACGTGCCGCGCCTCTCGATGAGCTCCGTCACTGCCAAGTACACCAGCTCCCAGCGACGCTTGTTCATCCTCGACTACGAGGGCACCCTGGTCAGCTGGGGCCCCGTGAACCAGATCATCCCCGTCAGCCCACAGCGGACGCTCGACGTGCTCAACGACCTGTTGCTGGACGAGCGAAATACTGTTTACGTCATGTCTGGTCGACGGCCGGAGGAGCTGGACCGGGTCTTCCGCCGCGTGCCCAACCTCGGCCTGATTGCCGAGAACGGCTGCTTCCTCAAGGACTGCGGCTCGGAGGAGTGGGTAGCCATGGCGGACGCGGACCAGATCACCAACTGGAAGGAGTCGGTCAAGCCCATTATGCAGTACTACCTGGAGAGAACGCCCGGCACGCATGTCGAGGAGAGGCGCTGCAGCCTGCTGTTCCACTACAACAACGCAGAGGACTACGAGTCGGCGTCCCGCCAGGCCTCTGACTGCGCCAGCCACGTCAACGATGCCTGCGAGTCGCTGCGGGTGCACGCCGTAGCAACGGACGGAGCCATTGTGGTTGAGCCTCTGGACTGGACCAAGTGCACGGCGGCTCAGCGAGTGTTTGAGCAGCTGGGAGAGCACATGAAGTCGGATGAGACACACAAGCAGCCCGTCGACTTTTTGATGGTTGTCGGCGACGGACGAGAAGACGAAAAGGTGTTTAGATGGGCAAACAACCTGGGCGAGCAGAACCAGATCAAGAATGTCATTACTGTGAGCCTTGGCAGCCGAAGCACCGAGGCGGCGGCCACTTTGACCCAGGGCGTGAGCGGTAAGTCTTTCTTGTTCACAATGCATCATGACAAGAGACTAATGGTGTGTTAGGTGTCTTGAACTGCCTTCAGCGTCTGGCATCGGTGTCGTAGGGAAGCATCCTTGCCTCAGTCTTTGCCTAGTTTCCCCACCACTCTCCTTTTCCATTCGCAGTTGTTTTACTTGACACTTTTTCCTCCTGTTTCTCGTCATTGTAAGGCGTCTCTGGTATATGAAAAGGAGGCGTACGGCTTTCATTGGAGTCTGAATTATATATCTGAACAGGCCGCAGAGCATGGTCTACACGATGGATGGGCCTTTTATAGCACGAGTACCCCTTTTTTTCTTTTGCATCCGTACGAAATGGAGCAACGAGTTTTACGTTTGAAAGGAGGTGAAAAAAAAAAGTTCATTGTTCATCACAACTTGCCAGCATGTTCTGTTACAAGCTTTGATATTCGGCTTGTTTCTACATGCATTTCTAGTTGGCCGCTTTGTTTGCTCTTGTTGCGTTTCATGGTATTGGCGTCGGATTAGACACGCATTGGCGGACATGCATTGATGGTACATAGCTAGCTTTACGGATAGCGCTCGCGTGCAAGAAAATGGTTAAGGTATATTTGGTACAAGATGTCTGCTCTCATGTCGAGGTGCCGTTGTCTTTCTCCGGAATTTCCAGAGATGCAGGTCGGCTATTTGCGTTGAAGCAGCAAGCGAGCGAGCGAGCCACTTTCCGTGTCAAAGTTGTCCAATCGGTAGTCAATCAGCTATCTACTAGGTAGGTAGTAGGTAGTAGGTCAATTGGAGTGATGTAGTGGCAACAGTAGGCTGTATGTAGTCGTACGATGGAGGTGAGGCGATCATGATACTATTTTCGTACACTAGGAAAGTATAAATATATCAATCAAGACTTGTGCCGCGGCTACTAGGCGTTTGGGAGTCGAAGGTGGTGTTGAAGTTGTGAGCCACACTGGGACGATTGGGTGTTAAGGGGTGGTTTGTGGGGAAGAAGAAGAGGTGCGTTGTGTTGTTGTTATGTGTCTGAGTCTGGGTATAGAATGGAGATGGGTTGAGGGGGATGTGAGGGGAGGATATGGGATGATGTAAGTTGGGGCGACAAGGTTTTGAGGGAGCTGAAGGGGGGATGGAGCTGGAGCTGGAGCTGGAGCTGGAGCTGGAGCTGGAGCTGAGGGAGTGTTTATTAGTTGCTTTGAACTGTGGCTCTGAAATGTGGCTCTGAAATGTGGCTCTGAAATGTGGCTCTGAAATGTTGCTGTTGCTTTCGACTTTTTGAGAGATGAGGACAGGTGCCGTTGATGGCTCTGGTAAAAGGGGTCAGTCGAGTGAGTTGAATTCATATTTATACGGACGGGTCTTTCGAGAGGTTGCAGCTTTGGAGTATAGCGGACGACCTTGGCTCTTAGTCATAAACCATGTCCGACAGTAGGCACTATGTGACGCCTCTCTAACTGCTTCCTTCTCTTAACAGACTCGGCATTTGTTAATGTCAACTCGCCGCTCTCAAAAAGTCACAGCGTCTACTTCATGTCGTTCGTTGTTCGTTAAGCGTCTATGTGCTCTGCATTACATCGTCCGGGGAAACACAGGCGGAGCTTGGGGGGGGGGAGTGACCGCAAGGCCGGAAGCGGAGGCGACCCCAGAGCGAGATCGGCTTGTTTTGTTAGGTGGGATGGCATTACAGTATTAGACAGCTGCTTCTTCTGGGATGGAATGACTCCTCGTACCAATTAAAGACGGGTTGCGGCTGTTGTGTGCATGTAAGAAAAGAAAGAAGACGCCGGATAATATTTACACGACAAAAAACATCAATTGGCCAGATATCATCATCCTGCTAAGCATCCTCCTCACCTTCTTTTCTCTCTCTACTTGACTCATTGCTGTGAATGACTTACTGAAGAGAATTGGGTTGGAGAATTGGGTTCTTACAGCGATCGGCGTGGCGCTTCGTCTTTCCGTCCTCCGTCCTCCGGGCCTGCTGCTGCCATCAATCTTTTATACCCACAACTGTGTGAGCTACCTACAGTCAACATAGTCTGGCTGGTTGCTCAACTCCGAATTGCTTCAAAAACTCTTGTCGCAAACCCACACACTCATTCGCACACCCTCTTAACCACAACAACTTCAAAGCACAAGACAATCAGTCCTCGAAATGGGCTCCACGGCTTTTCCCCCGCCGCCGGTCAACACCATTGACTGGTCCAACGTCGGCTTCCGCGTCCGCGAAGGTCCGTCTAGAATCAAACCAGACATATGTCTGATCTTGTCTGCTAACACAGCATCGCAGTCAACGGCCACATCGAATCGACCTACTCCCTCAAGACGGGCACATGGACGCCGCTCAAGTTCGTCGCGGACCCGTACATGCGCATCCACGGCATGGCCCCGGCGCTCAACTACGGCCAGCAGGCCTACGAAGGGCTCAAGGCCTTCCGCATGCCCGGCGACGCCTCCATCGCCATCTTCCGCCCCGACCGCAACGCCGTCCGCATGCAGCACTCGGCCGAGGTCGCCTGCATGCCGCCCGTCCCCGTCGACCTCTTCCTGCAGGCCGTGAAAGCCGCCGTCGCCCTCAACGCCGGCTACGTGCCCCCCCACGAGACGGGCGCCGCCATGTACATCCGGCCGCAGATCTACGGGTCGAGCGCGCAGCTGGGGCTGTCGGCGCCCGAGGAGTACACCTTTTGCGTCTTTGTGATCCCGACGGGCGTCTATCACGGGTCGCACCCGGTCAAGGCGCTCGTGCTGGACGAGTTTGACCGCGCCGCGCCCAACGGCACGGGGCATGCCAAGGTCGGCGGCAACTATGCGCCCGTGCTGCGCTGGAGCGACAAGGCGCGCGCCGAGGGCTATGGCATCACGCTGCACCTGGACAGCGCGCGGCACGAGGACATTGACGAGTTCAGCACGAGCGGCTTCATCGGCGTCAAGGCGGGCGCCGACGACAACGAGAACGACGTCACCCTGGTCGTGCCAGACTCAAAGTGCGTCATTGACAGCGTGACGAGCAACAGCGTGCTCGAGCTCGCCCGGAGCTACGGCTGGAAGGTCGAGAAGCGCCCCATCAAGTACGCCGAGCTGCCCTCCTTCAGCGAGGTCTTTGCCGCGGGCACGGCCGCCGCGCTGGTTCCCATCCGGAGCATCACGCGCCGCGGCACCAAGGGGCTTGCTGATGGACCCAAGGTGACGAGGACGGACAAGGACGGCGGCGCGGAGACGGTCACGTATATCCCCGACGGCGTGGAGGATGCCGGGCCGGTGTGCTTGAAGGTGCTGACGGCGCTGAAGAGCATCCAGCTGGGCAAGGTGGAGGACAAGTTTGGCTGGCGCTTTGCGGTGAGCGAGGAGGATGGCAAGGCGGTGCTGGGGGATGGCCTTGGGTTTGATGCTCAGACGGTGGACGAGATGGATTAAAAGAGAAGATTTTGGGTCTTTTGTATATACGAATCACGAGAACGAACCGAAAAAAATCACACAAAAAGCAATCATGACATCTTGTTTTGAAATCCAGATCATATAAACACCCCCCTCCCCCCCTTTATTCACTCATCCTGGGCTTCAACACAGCCATTTGAACGCGACAGAATTCCAGTCAGTCAAAGGCCTTCACAACACCTCATACGCAGCCAATCCCTCCGCAAAACTATCATCAATCCCCTGCGTCAACCCCTTTGCAACACCCTGCAAATCAACCGGCACCTTTTCCACCACCCTATCCGCAAAATCCCTCGCCGCATCCCTCTCGAGCTTCAAATTCAGCAGCACCACCGGATCCGCCACAATCAACCTGTCAAACTTCTTCTTGGCGCCGATGATCGTGGTGATGGTCTGGTTGACGTCCGTGGCGAGCGTGATTGTCGCAGAGGCCACGGCGAGCGTCTGGTCCAGCGTGAGGTTCGCCGCGCGAGAGGCTGCGTGCGTGCCGCCGTAGATGCTCTCGAGGAGGCTCCCGGATTGGGCGGTGATGGCGAGCAGCGTGAGCGGGGAGCCCGTCCAGGTGGAGATTGTCGTGTTGAGGGTTGTTGTGTGTGCCGAGATGGAGGTGATTGCGTCGAGAATGGGGTTTGCTGGGGTTTGGGCGCTTGTGAGGAGGAGGGTTGGGAGGAGGGTGAGGAGGGTGCGGTGGAGATGCATTCTGATGATGTTGAAGGAGTTGCAGTTGGATTGAAAATATAGCTGAGTTCAAGTGTGTCAAGGGTAGACAATCCTGTGGCAGAAAAGCAAGGTCAACCGATTCTTTTCCCGGTGGCAGAGTCGTCCACGATCCTTATATACCCTCATCCCCCCCCCTTACCAATCGCTCACTTACACACACATCCACCCATCCACGTCCACGTCAAACCAAACCAAACCAACCAACACACCTTCACCCATCCCAGTTCCTCCTCCAAAAAACCCTCCTAGTTCATCCATTCCATCATCAACTCACCATCTCATCTCATTCAACCACGCCATATCAACCTCTCCCCCCCTCCCTTCCGCCGGGGCCCCCTACCCAAATCAGGCAGCTCACAAAACCTGCTCGGCCTGCTTCCCCCCAACAGACACCAATCCGCACATGGAAAAATCTCATGAAAATCATCATCTTGACTCCTCAATTATCCGCCTTTTTTTTCCTCCAGTGATTCTTCATCTTTTATGTGGTAACACTACTTCTCCCGGGATTCTCACCTGCATTAGTTGCGGGGAAAAGCCCAGTGTTGTGCGGAGAAGCGAGATCTGGGGTAAATCCACACGGCTGCTGCCGCGGCTTGTTTCTTGGCTTGTCCCTCTTCTTTCTTTCTTTCTCTTTCATGTGCTCGACGGAGACTTGGCAGGGCTGGAAAATTCACATGTGTTTCTTTTTCTCTCCTTGTTGCTTCACGTTCTTCACGTAGAGTTACACTGCTCGTTGATTCTCATGTAGAGGTGCCTCTCGAGAATCAACATGAAAAGTCTCGCTCTATCGTCACCGTCAGCCGTCACTCACTCAGCTCTTGGATACCATTTGCCATCTATCCAATGCATCTCAGCCAATACCATATCACGCTTCCGGACAATAAACACAACGCTCTTTATCCAAGTAAATACAGCACCGCTACAAGTAACATGCAAAAGGTAAGCTATACCAACGCCGCTCATGACTTGCCTCCCACATCTGTCTCGGCATCTCACGATCTTTCTATTTCCTCCACCATCTCCAAGGTGACTTCCATCCCAATCTTCCAAACCCGAAGAAGAGCGTCAAGCGTGCTTGGCTGCATCAAGTGAGCCTTTTCTGGATGCTTGAGACAAAACCTACCCAGCGCCGACTCAAATAGCCCATTGTGTCGCCAGATCGGCGCGTCTGCCGACCACTTCCAACGCCCGGCAGCTCGGTGGTATCGTGAATACTCCTGGCCGAGTTGCTCTCTGATGATTTCGAAAGCGGCGAGTCTCCGGCTGCGGCCTTCAATGGCCTCGTCGATGCCCCCTAGGTCGCCCAATAGCTCGGCATATTGTTCCGTAATTCCCGCCTCCAGCCAGGGGTCGAAGCTGTAACTGGCGACGAGGATTTCCCACTCGACGTCTCTCTCTTGTCCGACTCGCCAAAGCCGGCCCATTGCGCTCAAGAGCATGCCATAATTCGGAGGCAGCTCCATAATGATGCCTCGACGGCAGAACTCATGCAGGCTCACGCCAAGGCCCAGCACCTGGAATGTCGTCACGAGGCATGTATACGGTGAGAACTTGTGGTTGAAGACTCTGACGGCTCGGTCAATCTCGGCTTGAGTGTGTCTTGATGTAAGATGAAGAGTCCTGATTCCACAAGCTACAAGGGCTGCGGTAAGGATTCTGTCAAACCAAAGTTAGCTCTGCCGGCACCGAGTTGGACACAAAGGTAAAGAGAAGCCATCATGCGTCGCACATAGTGCTTGCTGCCTGGCGCAGAAAAGCAACTTACCGACCAGTCAACGGGGAACTTGTGAATAGCAGGAGCATTTCTTCCTCTTCCTGGCATTGGAGTGCCCTCAGCAGTACATGGCAATACTTTAGGCTGCCCGAAGCAACATACTTGACTTGACTCAGCCTGTCCAAAGGGAACTCCAGACTCCGAGATTCCCTCGTGTTATAAAACAGCCACTCCAGCCCACCCGTCGTCTCAATGGATATTGGGTGCCTTAACACGCCCTCCTGCAGAATGTGCAAGTTCTGGATAAGGCGCTTTGTCGGACATGTCAGAGTCGTATTCTTGACATCTGTGCTTATCATAGACAGTCGGGGAAGAAGGGCTTTTTGCGGTGAGGCATTCACCACACTTCTCACAAGAGCCATGCTCATGTAACCAACGCTCTGAGACATGGATTCGCGGAGCCCCTGCTTCACTGATTCTGGCGGCATGAGCTCAATAGTCCGGACAGCCAGACGACCGACGCCTTCCCCCAGGCATGTAACTCTGCCATCGGGAAGTGTCATCGGCGTGTACATGCCTCGCCTGACGGATATCATGTCCAAGATCTGTCTGGTTACAGGTCCAAGAGGCGCAACGCTTCGTCGTGAGGGAACCTCGAGGTCCCTGAAAAGTTCTGGATGAAGTAGATACGCTGGTCCGCATCCGATGAGAACGTAGAGTTTGAACTGCTCGCATTGTACCTTTTGCCACTCCGTCAGGTTCTCATACGCCTCGCTATTGATTTCAGAACCTGTGCTGATCAGGCGATCCAGAGATATCCCTTCAATAGCTTCCCTAAGCATCAATCGTTGATAGGTTGTCGGGTCATGGAGAAGTTCACGACAATCCAAATTTGATCCAGGGCGGTATCCAAACGGCCAGGCTGGATTCCACAGTATTTGAAGATAGGTAGACATGTCTCGAAGAGTGAGGAACGGGTGCCCGGACACCAAAAGAAGGGCCTCTCGATCCACATGTGCTACCATCTGCCGATACCAATGGTCATCGCCTTGGAGAATTTGACACTCGTCCAGAGCAACGACATTCCACAGGGGCTCAACACTAGCAATTCGTTTTCGTTCTTTTTGCGCATCCCAGCAGACATTGGCCTCGCTTGCCTGACTCGCCAACTGTTGACTGCCTTTCGAGACTGGAAGAAATTCTAGCCAGCTCTCATAGGATGCCAAAAGAAGGACGCGAGCAACCTCCTTGTCCCTCCTTCTCGCGGCCCATTTGTCAATGTGCTGCTGGAACTCTTCGGCGCTGTCAATTGTCTTGTGGTGAGTGAACTGAATGCCGTCCGTAGGACGACAGAGCACCCAGATATCAAACACATCATGCCATCGTACTTCCAGTTCCCTTGCGGCCGTGCCAAAGTTTGCCAAGGGCATAATGATGACATTTGGCTTGAAAGGTCCAAGATCCGAGAGAGAGTAGTTTTCTTCGATCAAAAACTTGATTGCCAACAGCATCACACGTGTTTTCCCGGTACCGCACTGGCTGAACAGCATGGCGCATCGCAGGGGCCCTCCCAGCAGTTGTGCCACTTGATTTGCGTCTGCCACCTATGTTAGATTGACTTGGGTAGGTCAAAGCAACATTGTCTCCTCTTCTCGGCAAACAAAGCCTCCGTGTTTTGAGGGTAGCAGCAGAGGCGGAAGGTCGCGTACCTGAGATGTGCGGTGCCTGTAATTCCTTCTCCGTAGCTATATCGTACACACCAGAACCTCTCCGTTCGCAGATATCAAACAAGCTTTCTTCGTTGAACCGAGGACTGTATCCCAACCAAGCGTCCATCTCCCTTGACCTGTCCAGTCCGGGGTCAGCAGTGCTGAGAGGCAATATGTCCCCAAATTCGGCAGATACTCCTTTGTCGCAGTGTTGCTGCTGCATCTGCTCCTTGAGCCACGTCTTCAGATGCAATAGCTGTTTGCTGTTCATTGGCGCTGAGTTCGACGAGACTCGTGGGCCGTCCATGTCGAGTTGCCAGTCTATACTGGGGGTGATCAGATCGAGGGTTACACAGACGGCATCTGTCACAACCTCGACCAATGCGCCCCAAGGGTCCTGCAGTATGCTCAACCGTTCGAAGTCGCTCTTGGACCGCCATGTAACAATATCCCGTAGCACGTAGGCAATCTCTTCGTTTGTTGCACGCCGCGACATCAACTGCGTATCAATCGCGTCGTGTGCGGGATCTCGGAGAAGATGTCCACCAGCTGCCAACTCTTCAGATGCGACATAGCCATATATCTCCGAGTCTAGGCTCATGTGGTATGGGCTTCCAAACTTCAGGGCGGCGGACGTATCTCGGCAGCTTTGGACGATGCCTTCTATTGTGAGCTGCCTCGTGATTGTAAAGACAATAACTGCATGAGCCCGCATCCAGTCTTCGTGGTGAATGCCCCAGACATATTCCTCTGGTTTCAACGAGCCACTATGGCAGAATCGAAGTGGATGCGATTTCATCAGTTTGTAGCAGGCTGCAAGTAGCGAGAATGAGTAGTCAGGGACGGCGGTAGAAACATCATCCTCATCAACAAAGCGGAAGCCAGGCAGGACCATCACCTGACTTGGTTTTCTCCCATCCAGACTGTCCTTGCGATGTGGCCACCTCTGTTGCAGCTCTCCAAAGCGTCCCCACACTCTGTACGCTTGGGAGATGATGCAGCTGGCATTCTGATGTCCGGTTGGCCGTCGATGACGCGGCAGCGGCTGACCACGATTGACGTAAAACCCGAGTAGCTGGGTGAGCACCATTGGCACTGCGTAGAAGTCACATATGAGTAAGGTACTCTAGTCAACGATTGACCTGACTGACACACCACACAACGTCTGGGAGAGCGAGGAGATAAAGGGCTGTGGAGTGCTTACCTTCAAAGTCGACAAAGATATACAGCTGTGTCACTGTGTCAAATCCTAGATACGCAGCCAGAAGGCGCGCGTTGCTCTGAAGCGTCTCTGCGAACAGCAGCCGTGCAAATCGTGGACGTGTCTTGCCCTCTGCCAGCGCCTAGCTGAGATTCGCCGCTTTCATCAAGTCGTTCGGCAGCTTTCTGGGAATCCGAGGCTTGAATGAGTCACTAATTGGGGTATCAACGGGAAGTTGATTTCTTGGTAGTGGGCATCCAAGCTTCCACTCAGTCGCGTGTATAAAGGGGCAGTCTTGACGGCTACTGATGTCGCTTGGAGTGCTGGTCAGCTTGATCTGGGCCACGGCCGGTATCGTCGTCCGCCTCAGCGCCTGGCCTCGTCTCTGTCTCCGTCGCCTGATGTTGGGAGGCGCAAGTAAAGAATTGTCTGCCATAATGAGCGCTGGCAAGTCAAAGTATACAAAACAGGGAGAAGGGAGTGAAGTAATGGACGATGTATGTATATTCGAGATGATGGAAGATGCAAGTTGTGGTTTTATGTGCGGAACTGGCGCACCAACTAAAGATTTGCCCTTTTTCCAGTTCAGGTGCGCTCACCGCCCTGTAACTGCCAGTTACATCTCTTCCAAGGTACATGTAAGTACCAGGTTACGCGTATTCATGTCGTCACCAGCCTTACCTCAACGATCAGTCATGTACCTACCTAGTACCCTGTTCATTAAGTTCAGGACGTCTTTTGAGGGCTGATCCGTATTTGTCCTACTACATTCCCCGTGTCTTCTGGAACAGGGGCATATATGTAAACGAGACGCCTGTTGAAACGAGGCTGAGCCAGCCTCGAAAGTCAACCTGCGAGATGAAAATTTGTAGAGTATCCCTAACAGTTTGGTAGCCATCATGTTGAGCTTGTGCAGTATGCTTGATTTGTACATGTAGGCAACGTTGACTTGCTGAAGAGGTGACACGGGCCTGTTGAGGTAGCATTGTTCGAGCGGAGCTAGACAGATGGAAACGGCGGGAACAGTAGAGTATGAAGTAAAAGATATATTGTACACGTAACGCTCAACCTGGATTAATCACGAACGCTAGGTAATGACCAACACGACATTTCATGTGTGTCGCAGCATCGATAGTAGGTGTGGACGAGGTATCCTGATCGGAAGAGCCATCTAGATGATAACCAACACATGGCATTACAGGCCATAATCTTGCACAAAGTGGCCTATGCTGTCTCTCATTGCGTCATTGGGAAAAGAAACTTGCATAAAAGGCCAATCTCTCCGAGAATCTACAACATAGGTAGGATACATAGATATATCAGGCCAGCGCAATAATGTCGTCTGCTGTAGGGGGACATGGTCTGCAGACAAAGTCAACACACCACTTTAGGATGTTATATGCACTTGGTAAGGTACCATGTTCCACTTTGAGTCTGGAACATGAGTTTTGGGTGAGATTTTGTCGAGTGTTGTTGGGTTGTGTGGATTTCTAGTCGCATCATGAAGGGAGATGAGGAAGCATGCTGCTGTAACCGCTTCAAAATCCTGAACAATGTCTCTATATCTCAAGCCTCTAGTGGCCTAGTCAAATTTTCTCGATGCTAAGCTCTATGTGCAAGCTCTTCTGATGAGGTGTGCCACTTCATGTGCCAGTTTGCAGGGTAGCCTGGAGGCTTCAAGACATGTATGACCGTACTTGTCGTCTGTACCCTGCAGATGTTATACGACGAGTTGCACACAAATCTGAATGCACAGATATTCTGCACTGAGTCCAAAGGATGTAGGTCACAAGTGAAAAGACGCTTGAGCAATCAAATTCGGTGTGAAGCGAGGTCTTGCTCTCTCAATTCCGGTGGCCGCGCCTTTTTATACTACAGCACGCTGTTTATGTAACTTAAAGGCCATATACCATCCTCCATTCAGTCCTGAAATGAACCCTTAGTATTCATGACTATGAAGGCTATATCCATCCCTGCAAAATTGGAGCATAGCGCAACTGTTTAGTGCGTATCATTGCGAATCCCATGCGCCATGCATCCCAAGATCTAGACTGCTGTTTTATGTGGTGATCGCTAACATGCTTCTTGTCGAGTATTCCATCCCAGCATAATCCGACAATCACCTGAAGCAGGCGGTACTTCGTACATCGTACACAGCCTGTTCGGTAACATGGATTATGGTTATCCCTGTCCGAAAGGCTGGCAGGCCATCGATTGGTTCAGGTGTGTTGGTTGGTGTTCTTGGTTGAAACATCTTGTGCCAACCCCGCCTCAGCTGAATCAGGCATCAAGAGTTTATCTCCCTTTCATCCATCAACATCGAATGCACCGAAATCACCCTGAGGGACAAGCATGGAGACCAGAAAGCCAGAATACCAGCATTTCATCCCCCAGTTCCTGCTCAGGAACTTCTCTCACAAGTATGTGCCCCCCGACAAGGCCAACAGGGGGAAGCCCAAGAAGCGAGGCAAGAAGAACAAGATGTATCCTGGAGACGATGTGATCAACAGCCTTTCTCTATCTGACGACTATCGCATCGATGAATGCCTGGTGAGGCGGGTCTGTGGCGTGGAGAACATGTACGTGGACACGACAAAGCCGGCTAAAGAACAGGGCAAGCTCGAGAAGAAGTTTGGCGTTCTGGAAAACCGAGCGAGCTGCGTGTATCGAAAGATCATCAAGGCGTACGAAGAGGGCAAGTCGACAATATGGTTGAAGAGAAGCGAAAAGGATATCCTGCGCAAGTTCATCTTTTTGCTCACCTATCGTGGGGAACAATATCACCGGAAGTACAACCTCACCAGCCTGCAAGAGTATGACGACGGCGACAAGGAGCTCCTACAGGAGTACATGACAAAGCACGGCTTCACCAGGCCCATTGACGTGTGGCTGCAGAGTCTCGAGACAATCATTGACTTTGACATGGACGCACAAGGGGCTTGGAGGGAGACAATATTCGAGAGCATCTACTCCCCCATCGCCGACTTCTTCGTCAGTCACATCTGCGGAATGTACATGGCTATTTGCACACCAACAAATCCGGACGAAGAGTTTGTCCTCACAGACAATTGCTACAATGTGACAGAAGGGCCGACGACATCTCATTTCGACGAGACCTCTGGCAAATATATCACGAAGTCTCCTCGCTTTCACATGTTTGCACCAATCTCCCCCCGGCTCATGCTCGTCTTGAGAAACGAATTTTTGCCCGAGCCGAACGAAGATGCGAATCCAGAGGTGAGGGCGCGGCGGGCGGTTGGCAGGCATTTGATGATTGACGCGATCTACGGCAGTGGAACGAACTCCATGATGGAGGATCTTCCCGTCACAAAAGCAACCAACAACTATACACATTTTGAAAACGGTATGTTGATGCCCAACGCGGGCTGGAACCGGCGTTTTGGCATGAACGACGAATTCTGCTTCAAGTTTACCAAGATCTCTACGAGCCACTTCCAAAAGATCAATGGTCTCTTGATCGATCACGCGTTTCATGGCTCAAGGGTTGTGTTCAACCGGAAAGATGCATTCATTGACCTGGTGGAATGGTATCTGACGGAACCCTGCGAGGTGGGCAAGAATCTCGTGGGCGAACACGCGGCCACGCAGGCGGCGTATATTGAAGGGCTCTCGCAATTCATGCTACGAGAAGGACGGGCGTTGGAGCCCAAAGTGAAGTTTTGGCCGAGCGAGCATCGCGATCTGAGGCAGCACCGCATTGAAAATCTTGCTGGAGCGAGGTTCTTGGAAGAAACAAGGCTTGGCGAGACTGACGTAGGGTCTGGGTTTGACGCGATTTACGAAAGACTAGGTACCATCTCTTTCCTCTTGGCTTTGATGGAAATACTAACTATATGTATTAGGCGGAACGATGGAGACATATGATATTGACAGGAATATGTCCATGGTAATGTTTGCAATATGGGCGATGTGCGTCGACTTGGACTGGGAGTCTCCTGATTATGGAAATCTTCGTTCCAACAAGCTGGACTGGCTGTTGGATAGATTTTTTCGCCAGCAGCCCTGTGTGAGGTTTTGGATGTTCCTGAAGCGCATGAGACTTGCCCAAAGCCGCAGAACTCCGAGCTGGGCACCCCAGGCGATACATGACAGATTGTTCTTCGAGATTTGCTGCAGCGGACCAGAAGATATGCTTGCATATTGTAAGCAGCCATCCCTCATCATACATTCGTCCTGCTAATTCCTTTTCCTCCAGCTTATCCCATAACATCTGACCGCGAGCTCAGTGAAGCCATGTACAAGAGCTTCAATAATAGCATGGACCTGATTAGTGGGCCGGGCCGTGGCCTGGAGTCAATGGGATACTTTTCCTTATTTAGTGACCCCAGCTGGAGGATTCCGACACCCGGGCGTATCGATCGTTGGCCGTGGAACCGCGTGAGAGCAAACGATGGACCTGACCTTGGCGAGGAACCACTGGCCTCGCTAGTTGCTGATTTAAGAAGGATGGCATCAATCGTCCGTGACAAGGAAAATGACCAATCGGTTGAGCCCGAGGTGGAAGATGTTGACACGAGCGAGCTGGAGGAAGCGGCCCAGTCTGAGCTTTCTCGTGACAAAGCCACCGAGACACCAACCAAGGTTGTTCAAGAATCTCAGCCAGACGATCTTGAGGAGACCCAAGAAGTACCTGATGCGCTTAGGAGGGCAGCGCGGGCTTGGTTCCTTGACAAAGAGGATGAGACGCCTGCCAAAGAGGTTGAAAAATCTCAGCAAGTTGACGATACAGGCGTTCAGGAAACGCCTGATGCACTTAGGAGGGCAGCGCGGGCTTGGTTCCCTGACAAAGAAGATGAGATGCCTGCCAAAGAAGCTGAAGAACCTCAGCCGGTAAACGAGAACGGAGTTCCAAAACCGGCTGATACCAACGGACAAGTCCACCCAGAGCAACCCCAGAACGAGACACGCCGGGTACCACGCGAATGGTATTCCCGCCTGCTGGCGCTACGAGAAGCGTACAGAGATCTCGACACCAAGACTAAGCTCGAGATAGCTTGGTTTTCCGGCATGGCCATCATGCTCACATCTGCTTTTCTCTTTCTGCTTGGATCATGCGGTTATCTACTCAGTTACTTTTGCCATTCTGCAGCCTGGATTTTGCGAGGCCTGGCGTGGTTGTTGGATATCTGTTTGCCAGTATACTTGACCCTCGTGAAGTATTATTTCTTCATTGGGCTTTTTCCATGGTATATAGGTCGGACCTTGCTTGAAGAATGGGGAGTACGGAGAGCCACCTAGTCTAGGTGGTTGTTGGATGTGGAGACTGGCATTTCGGTGTGCACGACGATGGGACAATTGGAAGATGGTTCACGCAAGACTGGTATCATGTTTATCAAGAAGATGTAAAGGGACAATTCATACTGATTTACTTCTATGTCCGCGAGTAGAGGCATCAAGGAACTCACTTTCACCTCATCAGCTTCGCACAAGCAGACATTCACTCTCAATCCTGCGATCTTAACTCCCATTCAATCCCTCGGCACAAGCATTGCACTGCCACAAGACCCAGCGCCACAATCTGACTTCGCCACACTTTCTTATTCCGGCAGCCTACGTAAGACATGCAACAAACGCTTCCAAAGAAACTGCCAAGATTCTTGGTTAGGTTTGTTATTTGGCTCGGGACAAGATATTATGTGCTAAATGGCTGCCTCGAGTGAATTCGTATGCAAACGCGTCATCCAGCGGCAAAAGCCCCCAACGAATACGCCAGTTTGGAAAGCGGGTAAGAGTGGCGAAAAAAAGGGGGAGTTTGTCTGTCTGTCTGTCACTATCGATCTAGATACGCTCAAGGGCGGCGGCATATACCCGCTGAATCTAGGCTGCCTCTTATTGAGCATTGATTAAATGTATATATAACCAGATCATCAACACCTCCCTCTTGCAAATAGAACATCTCTCTGTTACAACTCCTTCGGTCAATCTTATACTTGGAATTGACAGATGGGATCCATGTTGTACAACTCCTCACCCCCAAATCCCACCATGGCCCCAACCCTCGGGTCTTCCCTGCAAGCCCAAGGCCTCGCAGACGAACAAAGGGGCCTGCTCGACCTCATCGACAAGCTCCAGTTCGCCCAGCTAGACAATGTCAAGCTACCTCAAATCGTCGTCGTGGGCGACCAGTCCGCCGGCAAAAGCTCCGTCCTCGAAGCCCTCAGCGGCACGCCCTTCCCCCGAGACGCCGGAGCATGCACACGCTTCGCAACAGAGATTCGCTTGAGAAGATCCAAGGAGACAAATCTCAGCGTGTCCATCATTCCGGACAAGAATCGTCCGTACAATGAGCAGGCCCGCTTGCTGCAGTTTGGGGGCGACGTCGGCATCGACACGTCCTTTGACGGCTTGATGCGCGAGGCCACGGAGCTCATTGCGCCGCGCAGCATCCCCGGTCGATTTGCCGCACGCGACATTCTCGTCGTGGAGAAGTCTGGGCCGGAAATGCCCATGCTGAGTCTCGTTGACCTGCCGGGCCTTGTTCGCGTGGCGAACCGGGATCAGTCCGAGGCGGACATCCAGACCATTGAGATGCTCTCTGATCGATACATGAAGAGCAGCCGGACAATCATACTGGCCGTCATTGGCGGCAACAACGACTATGTGCAGGCGCCCATTTTGAAAAAAGCACGCCACTTTGACCCTTCCGGGTCGCGCACAATCGGCGTCTTGACGAAGCCGGACATGACGGAGGGCATCGGCCTCGAAGACAAATTCATCGGGCTCGTGACGAACAGGGACCCCGAAAACAACTTCAAGCTCGGCTGGTATGTCTTGCTCAACCCCGGACCAGGCGACTACTGGTCGTCTGCCGAGGAGCGATCACGACGGGAAGCCGACTTCTTCACAAGGGGCAAATGGGCCGCTCTGCCACCTCACATGTGGGGGGTTGAGGCCCTGCGGCAGAAGCTCAGCTCGCAGCTTCAGCGACATGTCGGAAAGCACGTCAAGTCTCTCCGGAGACAGATCCAACAGGCCCTCGAGCAGTGCGAAGCCGAGCTCAAGGCCATGGGATCGGGAAAGGACACCATTGAGGAGATGCGCTTCGAAATGGGCGAGCTCTTCTCGGCATCAGGCAACCTCGTCACGCCTGCTGTCAACGGCAACTACAAAAACCCGGTAGGGGAGTCCTTCTTCTCAAGACGATCCAGCCCCAAGGGAACACCGGCGCAAAAGTTGCGGGCCCGTGTCCGCGAAGAGAGTGAACGGTTCTCGCGCCTCTTCCGCCAGCACGGCAGCAAAGTCAACTTTGCTCCCTCTTCCGGCTCTGGTGTGAACCTGCCGGCGGCGGGAGTCGTAGGAGACCAGGCAAAGAAGGAGTTTGCGCAGAGAGAAGTCGAGCCGCTGCTTCGACAAATTCGCGGAAACGAGCTTCCCCTCGACTCCAACCCCCGGGCTCCCTATATCTTGTTCCAAGACTTTTCCCGGAACTGGCCGGTCCTGGCTCAAGAGTACAAGGACAACGTCGGAGTCATTTGCAACGAGTTCCTCGCTGACGTGATTGACCATGTGTGGCCACTCAGGATGAGAGATGCCCTGAGATTCCACTTCTTGGAGAGAAAGATGAAGGAGATGATGGACGAGGCCGAGAAGGAGCTCAAGAGACTGACCGACGACTTGGAGCTGGAGCTGCAGCCATATGATCCGGAGTACGAACAGCGTCTCATCAAGTGGCGCGCGGAAGCCACTGAGAATGGCGGTAGCTACACCGAGGCGGAAGAAGTGCTCGAGAAGATGCTCATCTACTACGACCTGACGGCGCGGATATTCACGCGCAACGCAATCACCCAGGTCGTCGAGCGACATCTGCTTCTGCGGATGCTCGGCCTCTTCAACCCCGTTGAGATTCTGCGCATGCCGGATTCCACGATTGAGGCCATTGCCGCCGAGAACAAGGAGACGCGGGATCGCCGCACTGCCTTGAAGGCAAGGAAAGCCGCCATCGAGGACGCACGGAGCATCTGTGCCAGTCTGGCAATGCGGAGCGAGCTGCGGGCGTATGAAGACGAGATGGAGGACCAGGTCGACACGGACGATGAGGGTCAGTCGCAGAACGACTACGGCTCCAAGCGCTTCTCTGCGTCTTCAAATCTTGAGAATGTTCAACCACCTTCAACATCTCAGAATTCGGCAGTGCGTCGCAAGAGACGGGAGGAGCGGCCTCGCCAGTCCATCAGCATAGAGACGCAGCAGAGCCAGCAGAGCGTCCAGACCAATGGTGCATCTGCTCCTGAGTGGGACGAGTCGTACTATACGACAGCCCAGCCGGCACCTCACCATGCGCCGCCTCCTCCTCCACCTCGACCGCAGAAAGTAGGGTTCGAGGACGGCGAGAGGTATGATGCCACTCCGAGAGTCGATTCGGCCAGCCGGGCGAAAGAGAGCGCGAGGCACAAGCTGGCTTCGTTGATGAGGAATGGCGTGCAGAATTAGGGGTGAGATGGATTGTTTCATTCTGTGTTAACTTGTTCGACGCTTTTCATGGCTGGGATTGCATCTTTTGAGGCACATGGCGATAGATAGACATGTAGTTAGTGACTTGTAGCGAATGAGCTTGCAATATATGGTATATTGCCGTATAGAAAGATATTCTTGAACCCTTTGCACCGGCATTGACACGACCTTTGACCACTGTTCTCTCCCTGTGACGGCTCGCGAGGCTCATATACTCGGTGCAACTGCTGCTGATGGAATTTCCAAACATGGTGTAGGCTAGTAGTATGGGATCCTTCAGGATTTCTGTCACTTATCGATCGTTGCGTAGGTATGTGCCAAATCTGGCAGACCGACCCGGCATCTACATCGACTAACTCATTGTTGGTTTCTAGGGTCCGAGTCATCTTGAAAGAACAGTTGGCATTGAATGTTAGAGCTAAGTGCTCCTCCACATGCTGCAGGCAGGCAGACGCTGATGAAGCCGCTGCGCAATCCCCTGCTTCTCCATGGGGAACCGGATGGCAGCAGGCGACAGCAATGACAGCTTCACAGACGCCAAAGGAACAGATATACGCACTTCCAGGTTCGGAGGGTGTTGCATTCGTGTCTCGACATTCTGAGCTTCCAATGAGCGCCCGCGTGAGTCATCTCAAGCTCCAATCAGCAGAGCAAGCTGTTCACATCAGTTGACGAAGTATCGTCTCCAAGTGTCGGTTCGGCTCATAAACGAGGGCCTCGTCATCGGGCAGCGCGTCTAGAGGACGTGTCTCATGCATTCGGCAAGGCTGAACAGGCAAGGCTCGATATGGTGCATCTTGATGAGAGTCTGGCTTGATGATATTTGGGCGTCTTGAGGGTCGGAGTCGGACGTCGGACGTCGGGGATCAGCGTGTTAAAGAGGATCAAAGGGGGTTTAGTAGGCAAGAGCTGCAGATGCGGGCCAGCCACGGGGCGCCACGCGGGCCAGAGTCGTGCCGAGCGGGTGTGGCTTGACGCCGATGGTGGAGAGACGGAAGTACCTGGGATGTTACGCAGTAAGGTAGTTGACGAGCACGATTACAGGCATTGTGTAGAGATTTTCAGACAGAGTCTGCTGCTAAATGTTTTGGACTGATATGAGATATTCTATGCTCAAATCTACCATCTATATACAACAATTTATGCTTTCTTGAACGGTACATATCAACTGCAACGGCACTTCAGGTACGTCCCAGGACCATCGGCAGTCCAGCAAGCCACAAAACGCCCAACCGGCCTAAAGTTCCCCCCCTGTTGACCTCCGTGCCGCCGACATGCCACGAAGGATCCATGGCAAGGGGGGCCACCAGATATGAAAGCAAACGCCAGTCAACCAGCAGAGAAACATCGGAGCACGGAAGTTCCACAAGGCTTAAAGCTGTCCCGGTCCTTATTACCTAAGCCTTCGCTTTCGCTCTCGCAATTTCCTAATCTAGCAATGTTTCTCCCCCCCTTGTTCTTGGTGGCCCGACCGGTCGGTATGACTTCACTCTTGTTAGTGTTCCAAGCGTTGTCAGGATGGATGGGTTTGCAAAGTGGCTTGGAAGCCATGGCGCTGCTTGAGGGCCGTGATTTGGACACATGGCATCAAGATGGTCCGAGTGACGATGGAAGGATTGGGCATTGACGAGGATGGGGAAGATGTCGAGGAACATAAATAGGACGTGATGTCGCTGTTGAGGAACATGGAATGCTCAGCATCAAGCATCACCACAGACGACAAACACACACAACCATACAAGAGAAGTAATCCACAGCATCAACGCATAAACTCCCGAATACCAACAAACTCACATTCATCAACATCCCCGAACCGAGTCTTGTCACCTCAAGACCAGCCTCACCACTTACACCAAACATCACCACTTACACCAAACTTCACCACTTACACCTCACCACAAACATGTCCATCCCCAACCGCAAAGTCGTCATCACCGCCTACGGCTCCCCCTCCACCGCCCTCCAAATCGTCACCGAACAACTTCCCCCTCCGCCCAAGAACCACGTCCAGGTCAAGATCTTTTACGCCGGCTTCTCTGGCGCAGACGTCAACATGCGCCTCGGCGTCTACCCGCTCCAGCGCTCCGCCCCCCTGACCCCCGGCTACTGCTTCTCCGGCCGCGTCTCCGTCAACGGGCCCGGCTGCTCAAAGTTCAAAGAGGGAGACATGGTCGTCGCCATGACCAAGTACGACGCCGATGCCGAGTTCATCAACATCGAGGAGAAGCATCTCGTCGCCATCCCCGACGGCGTCGACCTCCAGCAGGCCGCCGCTCTGGCCCTCGACTGGACCACGGCCTACGGAATGGTGCATCGCAGCGCAAAGGTCTCCGCCGGCCAGCGCGTCTTCATCCATGGCATCAGCGGTGCCGTCGGCCAAGGCCTCATGTACCTCTGTCTCCTCCAGGGCGCGACCGTGTACGGCACCGCTGCCGAGCGCAACCACGAGGCTCTCAAGGAAGCGGGCGCTCACCCCTTTGTCTACACCAACAAGGACTGGATCAAGGCCATGAAGGAGATTGGGGGTGTTCACGCCGTCTTTGACGCCCTCGGCTTCGAGAGCTTCGACGAGTCGTACTCGATCCTGACGCTCGAGGAGCCCAGCATCCTCGTCGCCTACGGGAACAACCTCTCCTCTCTCACCGACGACGGAAAGCCGCGCTCTCCTTTTCCCGCAATGATCAAGATGCTCTCCAAGTCGCTCAAGGTCGGATGCAACAGGTCAACCACCTTCTTCGGCATCACCCGCAACCAGAAGACGTATCAGCCTGAACTGCGCACGCTGCTCGACATGGTCAAGGACGGCACCATTCGCGTGCCCATCAAGGCCATCTGGGACTTTGACGACATCAAGAAGGCGCATGAGGCGTGGGGGAAGGGCGCGGGCATGGGGTCGCCGCTGATTCGCATTGCGTCTGAGGCTTGAGAGGCTGATTTATGCTTGTGTTTACCATGTTGTTCTTGGTTGGTTTCCTTTGTTGTTGTTGTTGCTGTTGTTGTTGGATAGGAAGCGCATTGTTATCGACGGCTTAGAGCGGCGTATTTCCTTCACACTTCACTTAATGTTAATCACTGCCTCAATGAGAACATTCTCATTTCTTCATACCAAAGCTCATCTCTCTTGCCAATCTACTGCTTCAAACTGCATTCGCTTACTGAAACCCAAAAACACATCGCATCATTCTGAAAAGTGATGTCATGATGCCCTGACGTCACCAGATCACCATGAGGCGAATGTACTTACAACAGGTATCACGTATCACAACATCAGCCTCAAGCAACTTCCAAACTCTCCAATTCCAATTCTAATTCCAATCTCCAATCTCAAACTCATCAACAACCACTCTCATAACCAAAGAAAAATATCAACAACCATCAATTCAAATCGCACAGCCCAAAATGTCATCAACCCTCCACCTCCGCACCCTCACCCCCCGAAGCCTCATCCGCACAACACAAGCACCCTCACTCAACCGCCCATTCCACCAAACCATCCCTCGTCTCACTCCCGCCGTCAAGCAAGAAAGCGACAAGCCGCCATCCGAAGAGACGCAGAAAAAATCCAAAAAGGGCAGCGTCCCTCAGCCCAAGATTTCCAACCTCAGCATGCCCGGCGTTAACAAATCGGAGGAGCTCACCAAGGAGCAAAAGGAGGAGGTCCGGAAGCAGTAAGAACTCCCCCCTTCTTCCTCTGCCTTCTGTATTGTTATTTTGTCCCTTGATGATATGTTCTACAATCGTTTGTTGATATCTTGAAGTGAAGCTGGAGGCAGTGATGGAAGCTGATCGATTTATGATGGAAACAGCAACGAAGACTTTGAGAAGAAATTCGACCATGGTCAAACGGCACCAGACGACAAGGTAGACAAGAATTTCTGGCAAGGGAACCAGGAGGGTCACGAGGGTGAGGGTCGCAAGCCTTGATGCAAGGCCGTAATCCCGTCGATTTTCTTTCCTTCTCTTCTTTTTTCGTCTTTTTCCTTTTCCGCGCTGCCATTGATGCGGTTTGCATCTTTGAGGGTACAGGAGGGCCGCAAGGGCTTCACTCTATGTGTCACGACATGAGCAATGGTTATCTTTTATGTCACTAGCATCATACGTTGCCAATAACAATCGGTGTATTTGATGAATTTGTACGTCGAGATGCTAAGCTGGCCTGCATCTGGCCGTGCGAGCGACTTCCCATTCCTTGACTTATATAGTCGGGGTCCAGGAAATGTTGTATACATATCCGAGATCCACGGTCAACTGAGCCCAGAGCAGCATATTTACACGTTTCCCAAGAGACTCAATGGTCCGTAGTTGCTCAGTTCTCAAGTTATGGACGATCGACAGATTCAGAAGCGACGCCCTGCTCTATGTCACTGAAAATGTCGAAGGCAACCCACACGTTTCAGCGCGGACAGTTGAGCATCGTTGAGACTGGCGGATGCGGCGTAGAAGCTCCTATGTTGCACCGCCATAGAGGAAGTTTACTCTCAAGATTGCTGGTCATTGACTTGCATTACGCTTGGATCGACGGTACAGAGAGACTGCCTGTGGAAATTGTTAGCAGACTCTTCACCCGCTCAAGAACCCTCGGAAGACCAACATCACCAGCAGGGCAAGCCACGGATGGCAGACCAAGAGTGGCACAAGAAGCCATGTCGCCAGCATTCATTCCGCGACGGTCGAACCGCCTTTCCCAAGGCCGCCACTCGACATGTCGACCTGCCGGATCATCCTCAACCCTGTGCGCGTTACTGTGCCACTCTAGAAGAGCCGCGAAGAAGAAGCGGCAGCAGTCATTATGACTTTGACCGCCGGAGATGGTTCATCGCAGAGATGGGGCATAGCAATTGACGCCCATGGCTCTCGGTACCCTATCTCAGAAGATCTAAGGTCGTTTGATCGGAGTGGCGTAATCGTCAGAAGCTCATCGAGCCGGCCCTATGCCAAGCGTCTCACAGCAGCGATAGAATCTTCATGGCCGGTCCATCCCGGTGCCAGCCATATCCCCAATCAAGCCGCGAACCCAGTCCACAACGGCCTTGACCAGGCCCTGTGGCCGGCTCTTTCCCTCCATGCCGCGAACAGGTTCGGTGCCCATGGTAGGCAGCACATTGTCGCCGGCGGACAAGCTGACAAACAGCGCAAAGGGCACCAGCCAGACGCACAGACCGAAGTACGACGCGATCATGGTAAAGGTCGGCACGTCCACCTTGTCATAGTACGAGGTTCGGGTATAAGCTCGCGCCTGAGTATCGGCAAAGTGTCGAAACCAAACATAGTGATCGCACAAGACCAGGACTACAGCCCACGTCAGTATACGCCCCACCCAGTCGCATGGCAAAGAGAAACATACCGCAAGACAGCAGAAACAGCGGATCCGTGAGCTGCACAAAGGGAAACTTGCGCATGTTGCCCAGATACACCACATGCGAAAAGATGCCCAACACCGTCGCCCAGAAGGGAAAGCCGTCGAGGAGCCAGAGCGCAACCTGCACGCCAATGATGATCTGAATCAAGCGCGTGAGCAGGCGCTTCGCCAGGACGGTGTGCTCCTCCACCAGCTCCGACAGGTAGTAGAGCCCGGACGCGATGGACAGCGTCAGGAAGCAGAAGCCGAGGATGGCGCCGGCGTAGCCCAGCAGGGGTAAGATCCACATGTTGTCTTGTCTGAATGTGTCGAGCTGTAGATTGTCGAGAAGGCGTGGTCGGATACCGGATTGATTGGTATAGAGAGGAATTGCGGCAAGCTTGGAGAAGGCGGTAGAGGCGGCGACAGGTTAGAGAAGACGAAGGAAGCGGACGAACGACTTAGACAGGGGTGAGCTGCTGTGGACACGTTCATGTGCTTGTATGTACATACATGGGATGAGCTGCATGGATCTAGCTCGTGGGGCTGTCGTCATGCGGAACTATTGCTTTTCCCGCTCCGACAAGGCTCAAGGACGCAACCACACGATGCTCTTATACGAAGCTTTGTAGCGCTGAGAATGACGACCTATAGATGGGGTACAACAATAAGAGAGTTTTCTTTTCTCCAAGCATAGATTCCCATTAATTATCCTCGAGGCCAATGTATACGGGCACTTTGCCGTACGTACGAAAGCAACATCACATGTCGAGCTTCGCCGCTTATCAGCCATGCACCTTAAGCTTATCGATAACACCCACAAAAAAATGTCGCGATGCGCCCGCCTCAGCGCAACGCCAACGACCCAGCAACAAAGAAAAAACAGACGACAACCGCATCCACACCCATTGCTGCATATTTCTTCCTTCAGCGAGCATTGAATGATTCTCAAAGCCTATCACCAATATCATAAGCACCAAACTCCCTAACCCGCCACAATGTCTCGCCCCGAGGACTCTCTGTAAGCCCCCTCCTCCTCCTCCATCCCCCTCCATCCCTATCAACACCAACTCTAACCATATTATCCCAGCGCGGCCGACGTCCACTACGACGACACCGAAGCCCGCAAATACACAACCAGCTCCCGCATCCAAAACATCCAAGCCTCCATGACCCGCCGCGCCCTCGAGCTGCTCGACCTGAAATCCCCCTCCCTCATCCTCGACGTCGGCTGCGGCAGCGGCCTCTCAGGCGAGATCCTCTCCGCCGTCGACCCGTCCGACGGCGGCCCGCACACCTGGATCGGCATGGACGTCTCCCCCTCCATGCTCGACATTGCGCTGCAGAGGGACGTCGAGGGCGACCTCCTGCTCGCCGACATTGGCCAGGGCGTGCCCTTTCGCGCGGGCACCTTTGACGCCGCGATTAGCATCTCGGCAATCCAGTGGCTGTGCAGCGCCGAGTCGAGCGAGACTTCGCCCACGGGGCGACTGAACCGCTTCTTCAACGGCCTTTACGCCTCGCTGAGGAGGGGCGGCCGCGCCGTCTGCCAGTTCTACCCCAAGAACGACACCCAGCGCAACATGATCACCCAGGCCGCCGTCAAAGCGGGCTTCGGCGCGGGTATCCTCGAGGACGACCCCGGCACCAAAAACGTCAAGCTGTACCTCGTGCTCACCGTCGGCAACAATGGCGGCGAGGGCGGAAACACGGACATCACTGGCGTTGTGGACGGCATGGACAATGTCGACGTGCTGGATGCGCGGAAGAGGCTCAAGGCGAATAACGCGCAGCTCAAAAAGGGGAGCAAGGCGTGGATCGTCAAGAAAAAGGAGCAGATGGAGCGCAAGGGCAAGATTGTCAAGGCTACGTCAAAGTACACCGGCCGCAAGCGTCGGGTGCAATTCTAAGAGCGGGCTGTATGGTCTTGATGCATGGTATAAGGCGTTGGTGGCGTTGCTATTTTGGTCTTTAAGGCTTTTTTCTAGACATATGATATATATGTATGAATTTTCTTGATACCCTCTTATTCATCGGGTCAACCTTGGCTTGGCACATCTGTTGGAAGGTTGGATTGTATACCGGAGAAAGCACTTTATTCTGGTCTTCTACATCGGTATAAGATGCTGTTTCTGGAACAACACTCTATCAGATCACCAATAGTTCATCCTTCAACTCAAAAGTCCCATCCAAGCCCAATATTTTTCTCTTTTTGTCTTCTTTCGTTTCAAGCACTCGTCTATGCCTGTCCGAGGCCCTCGGCAGCCTTCTCAGTCACGCCGACAGTCTGCTCCGGCTTCATGGTAGGGAAGGCCAGGACTTCTCTAATGCTGTAGTTGTCGGTCAAGAACATCATCATTCGGTCGATACCCATGCCCCAGCCACCAGTGGGGGGGAGGCCGTGCTCGAGGGCGCGGCAGAAGGTCTCGTCGACGCCCTGCGCTTCATCGTCACCCTGAGCCTTCTGTCGGGCCTGCTCCTCGAATCGCTCACGCTGCTCAGCAGCAACGTTCAACTCGGTGTATCTACATTGTGTCAGTACTTCCGTCACGAAGAACGTAGCAGAGGAGTTGTTGTACTCACGCATTGACAATCTCCTTCTTGCAGACGAAGGCCTCGAATCGCTCGCAAAGGCCGGGGGTGTCGCGGGAGCTCTTGGCCAGAGGAGACATCATCTTGGGGTGGCCAGTGATGAAGGTGGGGTTGATCTAGAGAAAACGTTAGCGAAGACGTTGGATAAGTTATTGATGCTCGCCATCAACTTACGCATTGAGACTCGAGGAACTCTCCAACGAGAGCATCCAGCATGCGGGCGTTGGTCAGAGGCGGGTTGCACTCAACACCAGTCTTCTTGAGGATTCTCCGGAAGAACTCGTTGGCCTCGTCGGTGTGAAGCTCGTCGGCAGGAGGGAACTTCTCGCCGACACACTCCTCCAGGGTGGGAATCATCTCAATGCGGCGCCAGGGGCCCTCCCAGTTGATCTCAACCTCCTCGCCCTTGATGTTGTGGTACTTGGTCTTGTAAGAACCGTGGATGTGCTTGACGAGGCCGGTGACGAGCTCCTCGGTCATGTCCATGAGGTCATAGTAATCGGCGTAAGCCATATAGAACTCGAGAGTGGTGAACTCTGCAGCATTGTCAGTACATACCGGCCTGAGCATGGGAGTGGTAAAACGTACCAGGGTTGTGAGTCAAGTCCATGCTCTCGTTTCTGAACTGTCGGCCCATCTCGTAGACTCGGTTCAGGCCACCGACGACGAGCATCTTGAGGTACAGCTCAGGGGCGATACGGAGGTACATGTCCATATCCAGATCGTTGTGGTGGGTGATGAAAGGCTTAGCGGTGGCGCCACCAGCAATGGCGTTGAGCATGGGGGTCTGCACGGCGATGAAGTCCCGGTCGTCGAACCAGCGGCGGATGTAAGAGTCAACCTTGGCACGGGTGATGAAGACGTTTCGGACGTTGTCGTTCATCATGAGATCGAGGTATCGCTGGCGGAACCGCTGCTCGGGGTTCTTGAAGCCATAGTGGTCATCGGGGATCTGACAGAGTTAGAGAACGAACACGCCTTGGATACAGTCACAGTGGCCTACCTGGTGCAAGCAGGGCGACAGAAGAATGACTTCAACGGCCGCAATAGAAAGTTCACCGGAGTAGTCGCCGGATCCCTGCTTGGTCTTGGGGTTGGTTCGGGTAGGGTAGCCTCGGATGCCTGATAGCGGAGGTTAGAGCCGTCAATTTCAGTTGTGCTTCATATACGAACCGATGATATCACCACGGCGGAGGTGGAGGTGCTGCTCGTCAAAGTCGGGAGTGCCCTCCTCGCGGTTGTCAGCCTGGGCAAGGACTTGGAGACGAACGCCCTGGAAAATGTTAGAATGACGATTCAGTATCGCAGGTTACCACGGGATGGCATACCTCGGAGCGAATATCATAAAAGTACAGCTTGCTGCCTGCAGATCGTCGGACGTAGACTCGGCCAGCGAGCGAAAGCATCTTGCTCTTGTCGTACTCGCCGTTCTTGAGGTTGGAGAATTCCTCGGCAAACTTGCGGATGTCGTATGTGACATGGAACTATAAGATGGTGAGCAACTGGAGCCCTTTAATAAGGTCGCCCAGAATCTGTTGATGCGCACCTTGTGGGGGTAAGCCTTGCCCTTGGCATGGAGCTCGTTGACGGTTCTTGATCGAATCTCAAAGTACTGTTGTCATCCGTTAGTTAGCATGGCCCTCATCAGGATCGGGACCGGTGAAGCCCCCCCCCCCCGGCGCATCGCATACCTGGTTGGGGGTGAGCTCCTTCTCAGCAGCCTCGGCGTTCTTGTTGCCAGCGGCCTGCGCGGGCTTCTTGTCCTTGTGGGCAGCCTCCTTCTCCTTCTTGGCGGCCTCCTTCTCGCGGGCCTTCTGGCGCTTCTTGAGCTCCGTCTTGGAGATCATCTCGCCCGTGACCTCGTCGAGGTGCAGCTTGGACGCGGCGGCGGTGACCTCGGCGACGGCATCGCCGGCAGCGGGTTGGTTGTCGGCCATGGTTTGCGGGTTTTGTGGTGGTTGAGGGTAAGTTGGGACGTTGGGATATCTCGAGGCTGGAAAATCAGATAATAAAAAAAAAATTATATCGGATGCAGAGTCATAGCAGAAATCGGAGTCACCCCGCCATGCGCCCAGGCCAGGCCAATGGAGGGGTTGGTTAGTACTAGGTACTTTTTGTGTGAGTGGACGGGAATTCAATCCCCCGATCCGACCGATGCAATTGACTGCACTGCCTTGCCAACTTGGACGCTTTCAACCAACACCATGCCTAGACTCAAGAACAAAAATGCTACTTATGACTCTGCCTCAAAAAATTCGAACGGCTGGTGATTCAAACTGAATCATTGAAGCCAAGTGTTTATATGCTGCGTGTTGGACACTGAACCGCTTCTCTTTCGTCTGAGCCGTCAGCAGTCTAGGACTGGGCTCGTGTTGTTGTAGCCCTTACACGTCGAGAGTAAAACTAGCTTTTTGCGGCGTAGGCATCAAGCTAGGTATTATACCGTCATAGATCGAGCTTCGTGTTCCCTGCTCCTTTGCTGTTTTTTTAGTGGTTTACTGCGAGTGCTGGATAGCCGGTTCGTAGCCAACATCAAGCATAACGAAGCACTTCTTGCTTCATCAAAGAGCCAGCCTTCCATACCAAGCCATGGATCATCACCATAGTATCTGGAAATTAACGAGCAAGACGTCGGTGATAAGGCCTCCAGTAACGCTCTGCTGCCTAAGGTAAGTCTCCGTCACCAGAACCCCGCTGGCGTCGTCACAGTCAGCAGCATGCGTATAATTCCCTACAACTACCTATACAAGTCTGTCACGTCCGCAACTCGGCCGACGAGCCGAGCAGAGTAAGCGATGCGTACCTTATCTGCCACCAGCCTTTCCTACAACATGAACTGACTTTTGCTCGTCACGTTAACCGCTTACTGCACTGTCTGAGCCTTATCGCCATCGAGGTCCCGTATTCGTACGAAGCTTTGGCTTCTATCTCGCTCGCTGGGGGGGAGGGCAACCAAGTTCGTGTCCTCTCAACACCAACTTATAACTTCTCCCCCCCTCGCAACCTCAACATCACAACCTCTTGTACATCTCTCTTCATATCCCCATCCACAACTCCCTCAACACACACAAAATTCCAATCCTCCCAATAAAAAAAAAACACCATGTCCCTCTCCTCCCGCGCCTCCAAACTCACCACCCCCGACCCCTCCTTCTCCATCCTCACAAACCCATACCACCCAACCCTCAATCCCTCGGGGCACATCAACCTCGCCGTCGCCGAAAACACCCTCATGCACGCCTCCCTGCAATCCCACCTCCACTCCCACCTGCACGTCCCAACCTCCGCCTTCACCTACGGCGACTTCTTCAAGCGCAGCCGCTCCGCCATTGCAACCTTTCTCACCAAGCATCTTCACGCCGTGTCCCCCATCAAGCCGGAACACGTCGCTGTTGTGAGCGGATGCACAGCTGCGGTGGAACACATCTCATGGGCGTTGGCCGATCCGGGGGACTTGATCTTGCTTGGGAGACCGTACTATGGGGCTTTTCCATGGGATGCGACGATTAGGACGGGGGCGAAGCTGGCGTATGTCGATTTCGGCGACGAGGATCCTCTGGGAGATACTTGCGTCAAGAAATACGAGGACAGAATCCTTGAAGCAAAGGCCAACGGAGAAAATGTCACGGCCTTGCTGCTCTGTCACCCGCATAACCCTTTGGGAAGATGTTACCCCCTCCACGTCCTCATCGACCTGCTCAAGCTATGCAACAAGCACAAGCTCCATCTCATCAGCGACGAGATCTACGCCCTGTCCGTCTTTGAAAACACAGTCGACGCGGAACCTCCTCTTTGCCACCCTCCTGCGCCCTTCCACTCTGTGCTGTCCATCGATCTCACGGGACTGATTGATCCCGCATATGTCCACGTCATATGGGGCATGTCCAAGGATTTCGGCGCAAACGGCCTCCGTCTGGGAGCCATCATATCGCAGCACAACATCGACTTGATGACGGCCCTGTTTCCCCTCGTGCTGCTCACATCAGTATCCTCCCTGACAGAGCACGTCCTCGCAAACATTCTCGAAGACGACGCCTGGGTCGAGACTTACATCAAGGAGAACCAGCGCAAACTATCCACATACTACAAACACATCACCACCTGGGCCAAGACCAACGACATCGTCTACGCTCCCGGTGTCAACGCGGGCTTCTTCATCTGGGCAGATCTCGGACGGACATTTCGCAAGCACCGAAAGGATGAGCCGGAGGACCTCGACCAGGCTGTTATGGATGCTTTGCTGAGACACAAGGTCTTTCTTGCTTCGGGGGCGAGGTTCGGGTCCGAGAAGCCGGGGTGGTTCCGGATCGTGTTTTCGCATGAGAGGGAGTATTTGGATGAGGGACTGAGGAGGATTGTTGCGGCGGTGACGACGCCTGAGCCGTTGGAGGAGGCGAGGATAGATCTGAGGCGTGGCTCAATAACGGCTGAGGACTTGTAGAGCATAGACTTGTTTAGATTTTTTGACTGAAAAGGTAATACCAATAGGTACCATTGCGGAATGAAACAATGCGATCCTGCAGTCAGTCACACTGAAAAACGAGAGCATCTCCTGTCAGTACCTTAAAATTCTATGTATTCAGACTCCATACGCTCATGTTAAACATAGGTTACACACTACCCCTTTTCCATCTCCCCTCTTCAACCCTCACTGAAGGTCGATTCCCCTGCCTCCCCCTGTCCTTTTTTTTTTACTCTCTTTGCCCCTTGGATTTTTTGCGTAAATCGGCGGCGTCGCTGTGCGCATCGGCCTCGGCTTCTAACGTTTGAGGTATCAAGTTCTTTTCCCCCAAAACACACCCCGGCGGAATGTGTGAGGAGAAAAAGGGTGTGGTTGTGTTTGGGGGGGTTTTCAGAATATTTTCCAGGTCAGCTTCGCCTTGCGGTTGGGCAAAGTCTGCTTTGTGTGCGGTTTGGGTGCTTAGATGGTCTCCATCTTGTCGAGGATGGCCTTGGTGAACTCGTGCGTGGTGGAAACACCGCCCATATCGCGAGTGCGGACCTTGCTATAGGAGCTGTCAGTAAATCCGTTTCTCACTCGTGATTCAACAAAAGATCACTTACCCCTCGGCAATGACGCCGTAGACGGCCTTGGAGATGCGGTTAGCATGGTCGTCAAGGCCCAGGTGTCGCAGGAGCATGCTGCCGCTGAGGATCATGGCCGTGGGGTTGGCCTGGTCCTTGCCCTTAATATCCAGGCCGACGTGACGGCAACCGGGCTCGAAGACGGCAATCTCGCGGCCCATGTTGCAGCCGGGGACGATGCCGGGCCCGCCGACGAGGGCGGCGCCAATGTTGGACAGGATGCCGCCGTACAGGTTGGGCATGACCATGACGTCAAACTGCTGGGGGCGGGAGACGGCCTGCATGGAGGCGTTGTCGACAATCATGTCGTTGACCTCGAGGGTCGGGTACTCCTTGGCGGTCTGGTGGAAGGTGCTGCGGAAGAGGCCGTCGGCGAGCTTCATGATGTTGGCCTTGTGGATGCAGGTGACCTTCTTGCGGCCGTTGGCGAGGGCAAAGGCGAAGGCGAACTTTGCGATGCGCTCCGACTTGGCGCGGGTGATGATCTTGAGCGACTCGACGACGCCGGGCACGCTCTGGTGCTCGAGGCCCGAGTACTCGCCCTCGGTGTTCTCGCGGATGATGCACAGGTCGACGTCCTTGTGGCGCGTCTCGTAGCCGGGGATGTTCTTGATGAGCGAGATGCTGGCGTAGATGTCGAGCTCCTGGCGCATGGCCACGTTGAAGCTCTGGTGGCCGGACCGGCTGACGGGCGTGTGCAGGATGCCCTTGAGGCCCAGCTTGTTGCGCTTGAGCGAGGCGACGCTCTCGCGGAAGGCCTCCTCGGTGCGCAGCGCGCTCTCCTCCACGCCCGACACCTCAATCTGCTCCCACTCGACGGGCACGTTGTCGGCCTTGAAGATGGTCTTGACCGACTCGGCCACCTCGCCTCCGATGCCGTCTCCGGGGATCAGCGTGACGGTGTACTTGCCGCCGAACTTGGCCGGCTTGAAGATGTCGGACTGGACGGTGGCGAACGATCGGGTCAGCTGCTGCGGCTGGGCAGCAGCACGGAGGACCTGTGGGTACAGCATGTCAGTCACCTCCTCGTCGTCCTCATCATGATCCCGCTTCGTCATCATCCATCTTTTTGTCTTTTTGTTTTGTTCCCCTCCGCAACCTCTCCCGAGCATCATCTCGAATCGCCCTCAAGCATGGGGAGAAAAATCTCGCGGCGACAACCTCGGCTCAGCACGAGCCCCTCCACCTCTTTGCTCTGCCTCTTCTCCAACGACGCAACCATTCCACCACGTCATCCTCCCCCCATCCTGCAGTAAAAGCTCAAACCCAAGACCCAATCCCAATTCCATCATCATCATCGGAAGACAAGCAACGCAGAGTGGCAACATACCTGAGCGGTCCTAAGAGAGCTTCGTGACAGCATCTTGAACAAGGGGGACAGAGACGTCTCAGGTATTTCGGAACGTAAGGGTAATCGAGTCGTAGGCTATCAGGCACACCACAGAAACCCAAAAAAGGCCCCAAGCACACCGAGAGAAGAGGAGAAATATACAAGGTGGAAATAAAGAGAGGAGAGAGGTAGAAGTCAAGTCTGCTCAGCAAGAACAAGGGAAAAAAAGGGAACAAGTTCCAAAAAATCAAGTGCCAAAAAAAAAGCACCAAGTTATTACCGCACTTCTCCAAATCGGCAGTGTCGTCTCTTGCGGCCAATCCCATTAAGCCGAGCACCTCTTTTTTTTTTTTCCTCTCCCTCTCGGCCTGCGCCGGCGCCGCCTGCCTCCATACAGTAATAATACACTCGCACCTGTTTTGGCGCTTCATTTTTTTTCTTCTCTTCCGCCTTGGAGAGACTCCCTTTTGCCCCGTTTTTCAGGTGCAGATTTCGGAAAAAAGTGCGGAATGCGACGTCTTTCCGAGCGCAGCTCCGGGCCTTGAGTCTAGACTTGTTTAGGACTAGTAAATTGTTTATCGCTCCCTTATCGCGATCTTCGCTGCTAGGAACCGAGGTAATGACATCGATGAGACTGCTGCATATTGCCATATCGCCGACAGCCTCAGTCTCATGTAACAACTGTAACAACCTTAGAACTTTCATCTTCCCAGTACTGATTCATCATCAAAGTCGTGTCGTGAATTCATTCCTATCGAGGGCTATCAAATTCTAATGGTACTTCATCACCACTATACAGCAAAGAAAGTAGTACATCAAGCGCGTCTAATCCGTCATTCCAGCTTGTCCCCTTTCCTCCATACCTTCGAATCGCTCTTACAACGCATCGTCCGCTTGTTTCCAACATCCCCTCTGATCGCTGGGCTCTTCTGTTTTCTTACACATGGCTTCGTCATGGCTCATTGTCTGTGATTCTCCCTTTCATTGTTTTTCTTGTCGTTGTAACAAACTTACCTAGTGTCCCAAATCCCAAGAACAAAGAAAGAAGAAAGAAAAATACAAAAGCGCAGGTCATTAATTCGTCGTCATAACATCCCCATTACGCCCATTAAGCCTCGTCCTCGTCCAACGGCTCGACACGAACCAAAATCTCCTCGAGAAGGCCCTCCAGAAAGTTGCCCACTTCCCTTCCCATGCCAACGGGCTCTGCTTTGTCATGGTAGTCAATCTCCTTGCAAACATGCGCCAGCTTATAGACAAGTTTGCGGACTTTCTCGTGCGCAGCCTCGGCTCGCTGCTGCTTTGGGGACATGGTCGAGCCGCTCGGCACTGGCTTGTACACATGCTGTAATCGAATCTGCCGTCGCTTGAGCGCCTCTTCCAGCGCGGGAAAGATGACGTCGTTGAGAGCATCGAGCTCCCCATTGGGGTTCGCAGCCGGGGGCGACGGAAAGGTTTCCAACGCCCCCGGTGAGTGGCCCAGTGACCGCAACGAAGACGATGACGCTGTCGGCGCAGGCACGGGCGCAGAATGCGGAGCAGACGGAGGAGCAGGTGGTGGAGGAGCCGTGACGGTCACAGGCGGCGCTGCCGATGTGGGCGTGGCCGGCACTCGAGCCACTGGAGGGAGCGGCACAACAGGGGCTACCGTTCGCTGCACGGTCGTCTGCGGTTGCGGTGCTGGCTTCGGAGATGGGCCTCTGTAAGGCGGGATCTCGGCCAGGTCGTATCGCGCTCCCTTGGAGCTCGTTGAACGCTGCGACACACCATGAGCTGGCGGCAGCGGTTTCTCGAAACCAGGGGGTATCGAAATATTCCTATGCGCGGGGGCTGCCGGCGGGGGCGGTGAGGGCGTAGGGACAGGATCGGGGAGATCTATATTCAGGTTCAGTATTCCCATGTCGCGCTGCAGATGAGCTTGCAGCTCCCGGTCGTAATCAGGCGAGGGGGGCTCTTGCGGTTGCGACAAGGCCGGTACTGTCACGATTTTGGAAGCTCTAGGCGTTGTCTCGTGGATCTCCCAGCTTGTCGTCTTGATCACCACCGGGCTGGGAGGCGGAGGGCCCCCTCTCGGTGTGAAGCCGCGCTGCTGCTGTGTTGGTGTCCGCTGCTGCTGTGCTGGTGTTGGCACATTCTTGCGCTGCGGGCTCGATTGTCGGGATGTCCCCGCGCTGGACGAGTTTGTTGCCTTGAGAGTATCGCTCGGCTGCAGGGCGTGCTCCCTCAGCTTGGTCGGGCTGGACGGCTCCCGCCTCCTCTCTCCGTAGTCGTCCGAGGTCCGCGCCGCCCTTGTGTTGGTAGCACTCGCGCCCAGCGGGTTGAGCATCGGAGGTCGGTTCACCAGGTTGCCGCGGTCATTGACGAGCCTGACGGTGCCGAAATCCCACATGTCTTCATTGACTCGCGTTCTCTGCGGCGGCACGCTGTCATGCGTTTCCCACGTCTCCTCCTCATCCGTCTTATGCGTTGCCGCCCATCTGGTATGCCGCTCGATGAGCTCGGTGAGATATGTCGTCTTCTTTGCCTTTCGGATAAAGGGGTGGCGCAGTAGGTCTCTGGCAGTAGGTCGTTCCTTGGGATCGCGCTGCAGACACAGCTCGACAAAGTCCTTGAAGGCTTTGGTAAAGTTGCCCTCCAGCCGTGGGGGCGGGTTTTTCGGAATGAGGAAGAGAACCTTCATCGGGTGGATGTCGGCGTAAGGGGGCTCCCCGTTGGCCAGCTCGAGGGCGGTGATACCGAGGGACCAAATATCAGCCTTGTGATCATATCCAGATTGTTTAATGACCTCGGGTGCCATCCAGAAGGGAGTCCCGACGAATGTGTTCTTCTTCGTCATGGTGGCCGAGAGCTGGCCCGACACGCCAAAATCAGCCAGCTTGACCTGGCCATTCGCTCCCAACAGGACATTGGCAGCTAGCAAGCAAGCATCAGCACACACAACAACTTGGTCGCGCCGCCCGTCCAAACAGGCTCGACTTCCTCACCTTTGATATCTCGATGCAGCTTCTTATCCGTGTGCAGGTAATCCAGGCCCATCAGCAACTCCCTTATGATGATTGCAATGTAGTCCTCGCCCATGATGCCCGGCTTCATAAGGTCGGCGCAGCTCCCTCCGGCGCAAAACTCCATGACAATCCATAGCTCGGCGCCCTTTGCATAGGATCCGTAGTATTTCGTCACGTAGGGAGACTGCAGCTCGGACAGGATGGCGATTTCCTGGATAATGTCCTCGACCTCGTCCTCGGCATTCTCGACGTCGATGATCTTGATGGCAACAGAGCGGCCGCTTCGCTTGTCGACCCTTGGGAGACGAAGAACGAGTCAATGTCAGCAGATGGAGTCTTGTCAGATAAAAAGGAGAAGAGCGCATCCGCCCCGTTCGGCCACGACATACCCCTTGAACACCTTGCCAAAGCTACCGCCGCCTACCATCGCCAAACAGCATTAGAAAACCGCCCGGAACCCGCGACGCCATGCCCAGACGACCAGCACTACTAACCAATGCAGTATTCCTTCGTGTACAGAGTCTCTGGATCCAAAGGGCCATTGGGCTCTTCCGCATGCCGATGCGAATCCGCCATTGCTCGCTTTCGCTTCTGTTGCCTCCGCACTTCTTCTTCTATTTCTTCTTCTCCTTCTTCTCCCCTTTCTTGACTCTGGAGCCCCCCGTCACCGAGGGAGCGGGAATGCGAACAGCGATGCGAGGATGGGGAGAGAGACCGGCTGCGTGCTTCCCGTCCGAGGTGCACGCTCACGTCTCGTTCGTCGTCGTCGTCGTTCGCAAATCATAAAGCGGTGCACCGTCGTCTCGCAGCAAAGATTGCTAATTCTCGTTTTTTTTTCTTTGCTTGTTTTGGTTCCCGTCAAAGACAAGAGGACGGCGGTTGAAGGGATAGCAAAGGGAAAAAGAACACAACGGGCATGTGCCAAAACATTCGAGGTCGGCAAATCCGCACCGCATGGGGAGCATCGGGGATTCGGGGCCACAGAGGTGACGAGCGGCAGCCCAGTTGAGCTCATGTACCTGGGGCTGGTGCACATCTCAAGCTGGCGCATGGCCGGCTGCTGGGCTAGGTGCTGTAGCGGGCGGTGAACCCCACTATCGGCCGCCGCGGTGCCTGCGCCAGTGCCCTGTAGCCCCTGTAGCTGTCGCCGGTGCAGGGGTTCGGCCATTTGGGTGGGTGCGAAGGTTTGGGCTCGTCGCACCGGCAACGAAATGCAGCCGTTTGGGAAGCCGCCTCGCGATGATGAATCAGCAGCACCAACGACGTCACATGCTTTGTCGATGATGATCAGTTGATCTCTAGAAGCATATGGATATTGCTCTCTAGCTTGTCATTCAGTCATTTATCAGTCTTTGTTTTGACACAACCAAACGCCAGCTTCAGCCTTTGTTGATCATCACCAAAGGCAACGCCCAACGGAAATCAGGGGTCAAATAAACACCACTATATACGAGGCTATTGCATAGGTACCTGTAGATACCTAGATACGAGTAGACAGCCCTATCAGCCTTGATCTACCTTGCCCCGCGAGCCTTTCAGAAAAGCAATACGCCTTCGGTATGGATTCAGCAACCGTCACTGAGCCTCTTCATGTAACGTGTCAAAGCAACTTGTATTGTCTACCTGCCTTTACGATGATGAGCCACGCCCACTGTCGCCTTCAAGGCGCAAAGACTGAAATGTAGAGTCAAGATGGAGAAAGAAATCAGCCGCAGCCACCGGGGAAACTGCTCGATTACCGAGCCAGAGCGCACTGCAGCCCGGCCTCGTTCTTCACAAGCATTGCTTCCCTCCAATACCTGCAGCATATAAACCAAAGCCGTCGTCAAAGAACCGGTTCGCCCACATCGGCTAAGCAAGTCCGACGTTGTCTATTAGATAGACGCCCTCATCGTCGCCTCGACTACGCCCAACAGGCGTTGGCAAGAGACATGGTCGCGTCGTATGTCATCATTCGTAATGAAGCGCAAAGAACAAGAGAATCAAGAGCCTCAAGTCCATCACTCGTCTGTGACAAATTCAATCATGACTGTTCCTTGCTTCAGTCCGGCCTCCTCGATGGTAGAGTCCAGCAACTCGATCAAGTCCTGACCCTGGGGCATCGTCTTGAGCTCAAACTGGACATTCTCCTTGCCCTCCAACGGCTCCGCCTTGAGCCATTCGTATATCCTGCGAACAGGATCCCGCAGGGAGAAGCGTCGGATGATGCGTCCATCTGGGTGTCGGAACTGGATGCGCGTTGTTGCAGCAGGATCGTTGGCCGGCTCGGTGTGGGGGTTTGTGCTCGAGATCTGGGCAAAGGGACTCTGTGCCGCCTCTTGACCTTCCGATTGTTGAGGCTCCTTGGTCAACGCATCCGGGTCATGAACACTGGGTGTCGATCCCGCCCCCGAGCCACTAGCTTCAGCGCCAGCCAGACTGTTCTTGAGCGCCATCTCCAGCATCTCCTCCTCTGTCATGCGGTCCACGTCAATGACTTGAGGCTTCCGCGTCGCAGATCGGGCAACCGGGTTCTTGCTATTCGCAGCAAGGCTGTACCTGTCGAGAAACTCGGCCACTTCGGCGTGGAACTCGGTAGCACTGGGAAAGGGCCTGCCACTCCAAACTTTGACCTGCTCGCCCGTCCGAGGGTCGACAATGGAGACATGGGGGTAATTGTCGGGATTCTCGTGGCCCTGATTAGGGAAGTAGAAAGTCAAGTACTCTTCTGCTTCGGGGTAGTCTTTGTCCAGCTGCATAAAGATGAAGTTTTCCTTGACCAAGTCCGACACAGCTCGATCTTTCCAGATGTCCCGGTTAAGCATCTGGCAGTTAAAGTCGCTCATGTCCTGGAGGTTGACCATGATCCACTTCTTGTCTTCCTTGCCCAGCGCACGAGCTTCGTCCCACGTGAGCCGAGATATGAGCTCGAAAGGCGGTCGGAACAGATCCTCCAGGCGTCTAGCATGGGCAGATGTTCCGTTTGCAGACGAGGACTCGGCTCGGCTTGTGTCGTCTCCCCATATCCGATGGCCAAAGGGACCTCTGCTGGGTGCTTCAAAAGGTCAGCCTTGCTTTCTCCAAGTTTTCTTCGTTGTGGGCGCACTTACGAGGCATCGGGCGTCTCCTTCTAAGTTGCTCCAGGATAGCAGAGCTGTCATCCTCTCCCCAGGATGGGTCTGGAGCAACAAGTGTTTCTGTCGTCCGTGCAATGGGTGCCCTCACATCGCCACCAGAGGGTCCCGACTCCTGGTACATCTCCTCTTGGAGCCGCTTCGCCATGGCGGCGTCCTCTTCCTCCTGAGCCAACGCGGCGGCTTGGGCAACAGCAGCCCGCTCGTCGTCATCGTGATCTTCAAAGTCGTTATCATCGTAGTCCATGTCGGCGTCGCCATCGTCATCGTCGCTGATGTGAATCACTCCGCTCGCATCCTCTCTGCCGATGTTGACTCTCCGCGACGCAGAGCGAGACCTTGACGACGAGGTAGTGGCCGCAGGACGAGACAGGCCATCGCCGACCAGGTCCGGGCTCTCGAAGAACAGCTCGATGGCCCGCTGGTTGTCGCCGCCTGTGAGCTCGAGGTAGCCGCGAGCCACATCGACACTCGCCCCCGTGATGGCAACGAAGTGGTGAATGCTCTCCTCCATGGCTGATCAGAACTTGACGCCACAGCGCCCCCCAGCTCTCTCGAAGGGTGTGTTTTTGTTTTTTAAACTGCAGAGGCAGCTAGCAGAAGACAGGAACTTGTAACACTCGGCTAGCAGAGCCTTTGAATTGTCGAGTCGTATCGTACCGCGCCGTGACGGTGCCGCTTTATAGGTAGAGTCGCTGTGGGTGGTGATGGTGGAAGCTGGTGCGATTAGGTGCAGATGAACGGGATCCGATAGCTGCAAAATGCCGGTCAGACACGCCTTAGCAGACGGTGCCCCACACTCGCCGCCTTTAGGTAGGTAGGTACCTACCTCAGGTAGCTCAGCAAGTGAGGGAGGTGTTGTACTTACTGTATGTGTCAAAATGAGCTGTGAAAGAGGGCAGTTGGACCAAAGTTGCCGAATGTCCCTTTACTGATGAAGAGGAAGTGAATGGTCTCGATATCTATAGACAGACAGACAGACAGCAGATGTGCCGGCAGAATGAAGTCATGCATCGCACGGCGAATCAAGTCGAGGTCACTCAAGTCGATGCTCAGGCACCGCGGGCATGACGCAACAGCAGCACCCCGCCAATCGACTTGGCGCAGGTACCTTCCTGCGGCTTCTCTTGCGCGCGGGTACCTGAGGGTACTTTTGGGCGGCGTGCTCTTGCAACGGTGACGGTGGACGGTGACGGTGGCCGATCATCGGAACAACCAATCAGCCGGGCCATTCCCGCGATGCTCCCTGCAAGCCCTGGTCTTAGGGGTGACCTACCCGGCAATGCAGGACGACAAAGTTTGGCTTTGATCTCTCAGTCAAGAGGTGCAGAATATCAAAGTGTGATTGGGAATTCGGTGAGCTTCGTGAAAGTCTTTATTGTTTTTTTGATACATCTCATACGCTGTGTTGTGTTCTTTTGCATGACGCCCTGTTCATCTACCACCGACATAGCACGACCTCGATGGTTTGGACTCCTGAGCCCAGTAACAACCAACCAATACACGGAGAAAACGCAAAAGAAACCTCTTGTTTCCCACGACTGAAATTACAAAAGGGAGTACAACAGCCATAAAACCAACAGTCTAGTCATCTTCTTCTCCGGTAGTTGTTCTTCCTTCCTCCGTAAGCTGCCATTCCAAGGACTGCAGCCCACAAAAAAAGGGGCTGATCTGTTCGATGCTCACATAACATACGAGGGCAACCACCTCCATCCTCCCCATAGACGGATACTGTAGTTCTACATAATCTTGACTTTGCTCAAGCTGCTTACTCCTTGATCTATCCATGTAGCCAAATAGACGTCGTCTTTCCATCAAGTTCCCATTCATCACCTGGCAATCTTACATAGCGGATGTGTACTTCATGATCCAGAGACAGAGTGTCCATCTTCAAGGGTCTTCTCCGACTCATAGGTAGACAGATAAAAGCATAATCTGCAAATGCCTTTCGAGGAGAACCATCTCGTATGTGCCTCTTTATCTTGTCGCTCTCACTCGTGATCTATTCGCCACTGTAAGCAAAGTAGCTTATGAGAAGAGAAGAAAGGCATTTTGGTCATCGAGAACGAACCAGATCCTCACCGAGATAGTTGCTGTTCGAGTTCTGTGGCCCATTCGTCATCGGGCTGCACCTGAATCGTTTAATTAGAATGGCATACATTAAGAGAAGCACGGGAATTCTCGTTGGACTAGTGACCTGATATGGGACATTTGCCTATCGCAGGGTTGGATGTTTAAGCCAAGTTCCAACTTGTGGAGAGAGAGCTGTAAGAAGATGTCGCGAGAACTGTACATGGAGAGGAAACGACTCTCGAGCGTCATTTATAAGACCGTTGATAATTTTGGATTTGATACATGCTGATTTGAGCTGCAGAAGCCATCATATGACTGACAGCTACCTACTCAGGATATACCTTGCATCGTCAATACATCGAAGTGAACTTCCAAAGCTTGTAGCAATATCATAGCGAGGAGTAAATATCTCCATGTCATCCTTCCATCCCATATTTCAACCACGTGCTTCATGTAATTCCGTCATTACTCGCTGCCAGGCCTTTTGCACCTCTGGGACTCGCTCTTCCTCCTTGGCTTTGGCCACAGCAGCCTCAAATTCGGCCAGCGGCACAGGAGACTTCCCAAATACGCCACTGATGTATGCTTTGAGTGTTGCGGAAACCGCGTCCGCTCTCTTGAGCCTCTGAGACTCCACGCCAACTTCGGCCTTGTCAACGTCGAGGCTACCAAGGTACGCCTGCAGGACACCGTCGTTATCCAGTGATGTCGATTCAGCCGGAGGCTCCGAGGTCGCAAGGTCTTTCATCAGATCAATGACTGCGTCGTACCAGACCTCTCGCTTGATGTAGCTAAACTTTGGGCTCGAGAGGAACGGTTCGAGAGCCTTGATAACCTGGTTGGCGACTGCAGAAGCACGTCTATCCGACGAGCGGCTGTATCCGCGTGCCACGGCCTCCAATCCATTCATTGCAGTCTTGGTCACAGTCACCTCTTTAGAGTCCACATCCATCTTATTGTCATCTTTGTGGTCCTCCAAGTAGGGCGTGACAATGTCCACAATGTCCTGGAAAATGTCAAAGCTGTCCATCGCCTTTGAGAACCTCCACAGACAGCGGAAAGCATGAACACGATATTCGTCATTGTTTCGCTTCGCTTCGCGAATGACAATCTTCTTCATCTGGGCTGCAATCTCAGAGTTGAACCTCCACAAAGATTGGCCCTTTTCGATGAACTCGGGGAATGCCTCCAACAGCTTTTCTTTTCCTGGGAACGTCTTGAGAGCAAGAGCCTTCTCGAAAACAGGCCATATAGCCTTCAGGTTGGCCTCTGCAATAGCCCCTGTGGCATCACTGGCGCTGGCGACATCTGAGACCATGGCGGCAACGGTAAAGGCGCCGGTGTGTCGCAGAGCCCATTGGGTAGTAGCCAAACAGCGCTCAACAAGATCGACAATCTCCGGCACGTAGCGAACGACGGTTCGATTGCTGCCAGCATGTTGATCCCACACCTCTCGGAAGACCTTGCTGGTGTATTCGTCCACATCGTGAGAGCCGAGGTATGCAAATGGTAACAGGATCGTCTCTTGGGTAGTGAAGTGATCAGGAGACACCTTGGCAAGGGCAACGATGACGTCTGAAACCTTCTGGCGGCGGCTCTCTTCTTCGGATTGTAGATAAAGCTTCAGCATGCGCTCCGAGAATCGTTGTTTGGCGCTGTCCGAGACAACTCTCATAATGTACGCAGCGGCGCGGGCATATGCTTGGCTGACTTCGTCATTCTTGTCAAGCACCTGCTTGCCAAGTAATTCCAAAAACTGGGTAGACACAGACTTGATCTCGTTCGTATGGCGAGTGAAGAGAGCCGTCAGGACTCTGCTGCAGCCAATCTTGGTTGGCAAGCCAATCGCACTCTTGATCGTTTCCTCGAGTCTCGGAGCCAACTCTGTCATGACATCTTCATCAACAAAGCGGAGGATGTTATCTATAGCTTCCGAGATGGGGGAGGCGTTAACCATTCTGGAACGCAACTTGTCAATCTGCTCTCGGCTATCTTCTCCTACCTGCTGGTAGTAGTAATTGATACGATCAGGCTCGATGGTGCTGAGAAGACCTAGGAGCTTTGGCACCATCTCTGGGATGAACGGCTTCAGATGCTTTCCGCCGTGGCGCGCAACTTTGATGATGGTGATGATTGCAAATACTTGAACCTCTTGGACGGAGCTCTCCGCGGCCTTGTCGGATAAGAGAAAGGGGAGCGCCTCCTTCATCATGGCATTGGCCGACGCTTCATGAGTGCCCTCTTCCAATTGCCGGGCGAGAGTATTGGAAAGGCTTCTGCAGAGCCGGAATGCAGCTTCCCTGACACTCCCTTTCACGTCGTCAAAGACCTTGACTGCCTTGGCCCAGATTTCTCTGTAGTATTTCTCGTACCGTTGGAAAGGAACGCCGGTTAGCAGCTCGGAAATGGCAGCGCAGCTGGCTTCTCGCATTCTCCATTCTCGCCCATGTATGCTCTTGAGTAGCTCTTCCATGATGGCGTCAAAGTGAACGTCCATCACCATCTTTGGATCCTTGACCAACGCCTTCCAAATCTCGTTCATCGATCGTTGGACGTTGGTATTGGGGTCGAATCGGTAGCGGTAGAGCTTTGGGTATATCTTGGGGTCGACTTCGGCATCTGAGAGGATATTAGTGAGACCGAAGCGTCCAAATGCTGATCTGGTCGACCATGTAGCTGCATTGGCCGCTAGAGCCATGAACTTGTAGACAAGCCGCTGGTCGCCGACTTCATTCGCAAGGCTGACGATGTCCTTGTACGATGAGACTGAGCTTCCTTCGCCAGTCGGTAGTGCTCCTGGTTCGAACAACTCGGTCTCCTCATCCACCTTCAGTTGCGTGGTCGAGCCGGTAAATGCAGCCACGAGGTCCTTCACCAGAGCCGCCTTGAGCTGCTCATCCCCACGTTCATGGACAAGGTTGAGGCCACGCGAAGCAGTCTCCTGTACAAGTTCATCTCGCGAACTCAGAAGACGCATAAAGGCGGCTTGTGCCTGTCGGAGGCGAGAGTTGACTTCGTGAATGCCTGAACAATACTGCACAATGCAGAAAAGCCATATGCCTGAAGCCTTTAGAAGTGATGGCTTGGTTGCTTTGCAGTCATCAAAGAGCTTGTCTAGAGCACTTGCAAGTAGAGGAGTTCGGTATTTGCTTTGGAAGTCGCGGGTTCGATATTCGACGTCCACAATGAGCTTCACATAGTCTGAGTCCCAGCGAGCAGTGGCAATAGTGATTGCATCACCGACAGTGAACTGAACCTCGACTCGTTTGTTCTCATGCAGAGCGAATAGTTCCTTCAGGATAGTGCCAACGGGGCCTTCTGACCACGATGTCGGTGATTCTGGAAGCTCGGAGTCTGGTATGCTTGCTGCCAACATTCCGAGAGCGACGATTGCCTTCTCGTTCCCTTTCTTGGCTTTCTCAGACAGCTTCTTGATGACGTTGTCAAGAGAAGTGGCACCCTCTTTGGGAGGAATGGCAAGCTTTGCCAGCCAGAGTTGGGTGAAAGCGTCGACAGCTGCGTCGAACAAGGACGGTGGAACACTCTCTTCGACGAGGATTTGCAGCGGATACTTCCATTCATTGACAGATGCATGGTTGTAGAAGACCGATCGAGAACACAGATATCCATAGGCAGCAAGGGCTCCTTCAGCAGCATTCAGATCTGGTCCAACAGCAGTGGTAGCCTTCTCAAACAGAGCGTTCAGAGTAGTACCGGCATTCTGGATCTCATCAAGGTCCACGGCCGGATGGGCCCCCAAAATGCCCAAGGCCCTCGCAGCCAAGTGCCGAATTTCGCTCTTGTTGGATTTGATAAGAGGCAGCAGCTTTGTGGCACTATTCTTGGCAAAATGTCCAACAACGACTCTTGGTGTCAGAGATGCGACGTCGACGAACGAGCGAAGACACTCTTCTGTTATGGGAGCATCCTCGACAAAAGCGCCAAGAAGACATGCACTGAGGTAAATTTCGATGAAGGAGCTGTCGACGTATTTCAGGTAGTCTCGAATCTTCTCACGAGTCTTGATGTTCGTCTTGATCTGTGCGCTGAGTGCCTGCATCCAGTCGGGCTGAACTTTGAAGTCCTCCAGCGCCGTGAGGAACATCATCTGCTTGCAGTACCGAATGACCAGAGCAAATGCCTGAATGTTACAGCTTCTGAAGTTGTCAAAAATGTGGCTGTTGGGAAGCGCCGTTGCCCCAGGACCTGGTTCAGAATCGCCAGCTGCCGCAGGATTGATGGGTTTGGTAAAGTAGTGTAAGGCCATCATCCGCCAGTCCGGCAAGACAGGAGCTATCTCGCTGTGGGCAGAGTATGTCCATGGGTCCAAACCCTTTTGTCCTTGCTCAACCACGTCGCTTCGCTCGTTGAGTCGACCGGCGACGGCCAAGAAGTTGATCCATCGAGCATATATGTTGTTAAATGGCAGACACTCATTGGCCCATTTGACAACCGCATGGCGAGTACTCCGGACGGCGGGTTCGTTTTCCGCAAGGTACATGTATTTGAGGAGCATGTTCTTCAATTCAGGATCCTCATCGGCGATGTGCTCGGGAATGTTTGCCGTTAGACTTGACAGCGCGCCGTCAATATTGACCACGGCATCGTTGGTCGTATCCTCAGACAGAGACTGAAAGAGCCAGGCTGCGAGGGCTATTCGCTCTTTGTAGGGTATATCAACAGATCGCGCAAGCATGCCGATAGTTTCGTAGCCTCTTGAGCGAAGCTGGAGCTCGTCATGTGTCACCTGCTGCCCAGGAACGGGCCATCCTTGGGACTCGATGTAGCTCTGCATGCTCTTGATAAGGCTTGGACCAATCGAGAAGTCTTTGTTCGAAGGGCCAACTTGAGCGACCCATGACAGAAACTGGAACAAAGCCTTGTGTAGCTTTGTCTTCTCCAAGGCGCTCGATGGCTTAAGTGCACTTGCTGAAGCTTCTTGCGCAGATTCTGGCAAGAAGTCGAGCTTGACCACATTCATGATGCTCTCTGACATACTCGTAGCAAGGGTCGACTTGGAAAGCAGGGCAAGAATCCGTGTGCGATAGGCAGCAGGAAGTCGGGCGTGTGCCTCAAACAGCCTCTTCACCAAGTCTTCTTCTTCAAGAGAGACTGAAGTCCTCTTGATAATCTCCTCCGCAAGAGATGCCACTCTGGTATCTGGGCTGGAGGAGGCATACAACGCTGGAAGGAACTTTTCCTCATCGGCGAAGGCTGCGCTGGCGAGGAACGTGACAACTTTTGCCCTTAACTGGGATATGTTCTGGAAGATTTTGTCAGATCCAGGGCCTTCGACGGAGAAGAATCTCGCTTCGTCCTCGGAGAGAGTCGGATTTGATTCGGCCAGTGTTCGTTCAGGGGTAGGAGGGCGTAGTCGTAAAAAGACAGAGAGCATCTTGGCAAGATACTGTGCATCAGCCGCGTCTTCCAAGCCCATGGCAGCTCTGAAGCCATCATCTTCTTTACTTCCGCGCGAAGGTATGCGGACATCAAAGAGAAGTTGGAGGATGATGTTGAAAAAGGGGGCAGCCCTTGCTTGGCCTTCATCCTTGGAGCACCCTTTGAGTGCGATGGGGATCAGATCTCGTCTGTCGTCGTCATCAAGCCGACTGAGACTGTGTTGGATGAATGGCAAATCCAGTTGCTTGATTATTCCGGAGTCGGTGGTTTTGTATTGTGTAAGTAACGCCTTCACGGGCAGGACGACACTACCTGGTATTAGTGCATCGAGTCTACTGGCCACGTACGACAGAAGAGAATGTGACTGTACCTTGGAGGTTGGATGAATGTCCGGAGTCGACCCAAGAGTTGTATGACCTAGGGCAGATTAGCAAGTGGAAGACTCAAGCACAAGACATCTGAAAGGATGTCACCTTGACTCTGACGGCAGGGTTGCTGCTCTCTGCTTTGAGAATGATCGGAGCCAGATAGCGGCCCAAGAGGTCACACAGCTTCTCTTCATCGTTGGCAACACCAAGGATCTTAAACTCGACGCTCTCGACGAGCTGCAGCTCTCGCTGCTCTGGGGTCAAGGCTGTCATGATGGCTTGAGAGGTCGGGATTTGTGGCTAGGTAGGGCCAGCAGGCCAGAGGAGAAATGCAGGCGTTCAACGAGAGAAACAAAGTCAAACAAGTGGTATCGCGGCTCTAGAAGATGGCAACAAACAAGTCTTCGGCAATGCAGAGAGAGTATGCAAGGTTGTGCGTGATGGAAGAAGGAGTGTGCAGGTGCAGAGGGAAGAGATGCGAGGAGGAGAGTCGAGAAGCTGCCCGTGAGGCTGCCATCGGTGCATCATCAGCTCAGGCCAACACCGACCTGCGTAATTGCCCATAGTCAACAATGACTAAGCACGCAGCTGCTGTAAATCTGACCACGTGAGAGCAGCAGTAACAAGGGTAGCATCTGCCTTTGTCGAGATCTCGAGCTCTAGGAGAGGGGGAGACATCATGCTGTAGATGGGTTTTCATTGCGACTTTCCCGACATTTCTCTACACAATGCGATAGAAGCTGTCGTTGTCGTCGTTCTAGCATGCTGTTAGATGCGCTGACACAAGCCACAGGCTGTTCCAGGATTGTTGCTCTTAGATCTGTCCGATCTCCCGAGGAGCCAATCCTGTCGAGTTAGTGGCGTGCGGAGAAGTACCTCCATCAAGGCGAGCAGCCCCAGGGGACGACCAGCTGAAGGGGCATACGAGTGATTGGATGGTTCATCAGGGAAAAGGGACGTGGGAGAGTGTGCTGGAAACGTTTTCACAACGAGTTGATTGATTGACTGCCCCAGTTCTGGTCTACTTCCTACCACGACCTGCTTGCTACTGAGTTGCCCGTCCTGATATGACGGGGATACGCAATGCCTCGATGGCGGGTAAACCTCGAACAGAAGAAGCATATTTACTACTACGAAGCGCGGGATAACACAAAGTTCTCGTATTCCAAAACAATCAAAAGAGCTCTGCCTCAACCTGTCCTCTGCAAGGTGCGTGACATTATGTCTCATTTGGGCGCACGACCGAGGATGTCTTCGACCGCAGGACAATAAAACCCTCAGCTTTTGATATATCACCTACTGGTCGCTTCGAGCTCCGATTCGGCGGCCCAAGTCGGCGTCTTGTCGACCCCCCCGGTTCCGACAGGAGGACGGAACAATCGGGGGGCTAAACTCGACGTAGAAGAAACGCGGCGGTTTAGTGCGGCGGCGTTCGTCAACGGCCAGAACTCGGAGGCGAGGTTTTTTTTTTTCCCGCCTTCTCTGTGTGTCTCTAGAGCATCACCAGTCAGCCTGGAGATTGAGCAGTATTGTATTGCATGTCTCGAGCGGGAGTCGAGCGGGAGCCGAGCTTTGTCGTTCGGCGAGCAAACCGCAATAGACTCTATCATGTGCATTTCGTTCGAAACGGACCGGCCACAAGGTAAGCTGATGAAAAACCTGCGTGCGTAGGGCAGGAGGCCGAGGTCATTGGATGCCGAGCCCCACGAGAATCGCCAGTTACGCAAGTGATGACCCAATGACATTTGGTTTCTCCCGTACGACCCACGAGCGGGCGAGGTTCGTCCACGATGTGGTGGTGTGTATGAAAAGCTTTTGCCAAACTAACAGCCTTTAGGTCGTCGAGCCCCGCAGGATAACGACACGCCTCACCATTCCTCGTTTGTTGGCAAAATTTCCAAAGGACCAAGGTAAGAAAGCGCTGCAGTTGCGAACCTTGTCGCCTGGGGTTTATGCTAGGCTTGGTGGGTGCCCTTGTTTCCGTCCGGTCCAGGGCTGGTTTGTGCTCGTTGAGGAGAAGCTCTTGGTGAGCTCATGGCCGAAGACCATGTCGTTGCCCGTTGGGAAACGCGGCCGCAAACACGAAGGGCGGTGACTTGGGATAACAACGTCTGGAGCTGACGAGATGCATTGGCCGCCCGAAGCTGTGGTCTTTCAGCTGGATATGGGCGAGAGGTTAGCAGGGATGCTGGTGGAAGACCCATGCGACCAAGGAACGAAGCTGCAAATCCTGCTGACAAGGCGAATAAGCCAGCCCCAGGTGCCGCGGGCCATAGTTGTACCCAGGTACTCGCACGGGCAGGAGCATGCAGTGAGCTCTTGTTTTCGAAGCCTGTATATTCGCCAGTTTCTTTGTGGTTTCTGTGTTCCTGTCCTCAGCATTGCTCCCAGATAAATCATGAGTAACCGTTTACCTTAGGCTACCTATGCTTCAAATTGTGTGTTTGAACACCGTCAGGAAGCAAGAGCAGTATCATGTATCCGTATCCCATACAGTAGATGGATCGCATTGGCCCTGGTCGACAAGGGGGCTCAACAAGTGTTTGAAGCTCTCCCGCATTGTTGCAAGCTGACTGGCTGAAGCTGTGCCCTCCTGGCGGGAGGGACCTGGTCCTTTTACGAGGTAGCGTTCTGCACTGATACTACGTGCCTCCAAACCGCTGCAGGACACGGGCGAGCTCCCATGTCCAACTCGCACCAACGCAACACCTATCTCACAAGGTTAACCCATCCAGATACCTGGAAACGTCCCTCATTGGGGGCCTTGGGCAGAGGGTGTTGTGCAGGAGCGCCACTCCTCGATTCAAGCTCCCCCAACCACAGTCCACCATTGCCCTTGCCTGCCTCGAGAGACGACAAGGGGAGGGGGTGGTCCTCTGTTGCCCTTTGGCGCGGCGAGCGGTCGGGGGTGAGGAGGGGTAGAAGTGGTGCCCTGTACGATCGTTGACGGGTCAGAAACGAGATCCATAGGCGGGATGCACAGGCTGAATACCACATGGCCGATTGGACAGACCTGGAGCTGCTCTCTGAATCTTCCAACTAGATCACGGCGTGGGAAGGAGGGCGAGGCTGAGGGAGAAGGCAACATGGAGGAGATTCGGCCAGGAGAGCAGATGATGGCTCTCGTGTCTTGTTTCTCGTCCTCTGTATGGGAGCAGCATGTTTCTGCCGTGCTTTCTGCAATCTCCCTCGGTCGGTAGCTCTCCACGCACACGATCATGCAGGGGTTGGCCGATAGGACCTGATGCTCCCGTACCTTGAGACAGAGCAAAGACACGAGCCTGGCAATCAGCAAGAGGCCGCATTCGTCGCCATTTGCGACGGGAGTCTCAGCTCGGACGACAAGATCCCACGGACTGCGCCATCTGCCCAATGGTGCTCCGTATGCTGACCGGGATGCGTCATGCATTTCTGCCAGGGCCCGATGCAATAACGGGAGCCGCAGTAACTCGTTTTCGTCTCGTGTGCGCGTCCGGATATGCGTGGGAGCTGCGACCCGAGTGACGCGGTACGCTGCCGTCGGTTGGCTGTGTGTCGATACGTCTTGTGTAGCGTTGTTAGGGCCATCGGGACAGCAGGAGGATTCTATTCTCGGTCTCGACGATGCGGTGCCTCGTGCCTTGTATCAGCTCCATGTTAAGCGGGAGATGTCGAAAGGAATGTTGCTTGTTGGTTTTCGAAGCTGATGCTTTCACGAGGATTGGTACGTACCAGACAGAAAGCAGAGGTCGTGGTTTTAGCATTACGCTCAACCTCATCGCCAATGGCTGCAGCCACCAATGATCGGGAACAACAACAACAACAACAGCAACTCAAAATACTAGTAGAACAAAGGAGTCAATTCGAGACATTAACGCCTTCAACATGGCGTCAAAACACCCGTAACCCTCGTAACCCTGCCGTGAAATAAAAGTAATATTACTACTGCGCCCAAGTTCACGCTCTCTACTACTTGCAACAACTGATTCACACCAATTTGACGCAGAACCTACAATATCGGGGCTGGGGTTTCGCCTGAGAGGTCAAGTGTCCTGCCGTGGTTCGCTCCTTGATAAGATTATGCTGAGACAGAAAGACTGCTTCCCAGCAATCAGAGATGGCAGCTTGAGACATCTGCAAGATGAGCATCATAAACCCCGGCCTTTGTCTCGCACAGAGATCTCGGGATCGATTAGCCCACATCGTGCCTTGTCCTAGGTAAGCGGCAGCGCCTGTCGTGAAAGCCTCTCCTGTCTGCCTACCTACCAGGTAGTTAAAGTAGTGTGGTTGGTACAGTACAATTGCTGTCTGAACCTGCCATCCATACGGTTGTCGTGGAGGCTTCATCATCTCTGCTGCCTTGGGATCACTACACATCGGCACAGTAGCATTACCTAGGTAGGTACGATATCAAGAGAAAAGAGACACAACCACCTCCCCACTTGTGACCTGCATAATCGGATCCAGCCAGGGCTCTCTGCCGGTTCCGTACCAATGACAAGCTCTTCCTTGCCCTTGGCACTTCCCCTTCTTTCGGCTTCCAGAGGTTGCTACGCAAAGATGCAGGTCCACCAACAAGTGTCTTTTGTCCTGCAGCCAGTCAGAGCCGCAAACGGGCATCTGCCAGCGGAGAAGGCTCTCTGAAAGCGAGTGCGCCATTCGAGTCGCCACATGGAAACGGCGCACTAGGAACAAGAACGAAGCTGGGAATGGAGCCAACGTTGGGCAACTAGTGACACGCCGTCGGACAGCCCGCTGGAAAGTCTGAAGCTTCTGAGCGTTTGGCCCACCAATTGCGGAGGGAACTGCCAGGCCACGGCTTTGTAGGCAAATGGCACGGTATGGGGACAGTGTGGCTTATAGAGATCGCGGCTGTTGCTCCTACAGGGCAGGGCCTTGATGCTGCTGTTTCCGGCGTGAGCGGAGATGCTTCCTTTTGCTTTGACACTGAGAGGGAGACGGTAGATGCTCCGTGACTGATGAACGGTGCACGATGCCGCATGTTCCGTGGCCAAGTCGAGGAGTTGCTGTACTCGACAGGTACTCTTTTGCCCTGCTACCGTTACTATATGCTGGGAACTCGAGCGTAGATTGATCTGCGGTCGAATAGACGCAGGCTCTTTGAAGCTCCTTGGAGCTACAAGCAGGAACAGGTAGGTACGGAAGGGATAAGGTACTTAGGTAGTGCCTTGTGACAGGTACGGCCTTGCTCAACTTGACGCTTCAGAAGCAAGGATCCAGTCTCGACAGTGGTTTACTTGTGTCTGGTAAAAGGCAGAATGCCTTGCCTTTCGTTGTTGGGTAGCGCCTAGCACGATCTATAACACGAGACCACGGTGCTCCCTCGTGTCCTTGATGAGGAATACATGAAAGGTACCTCGGAGCCTCTGCTCAGTTTGGAGATGCGCCACCAACAGACTCCAGTGGCAGCGGCTGCCTTGTGAGCCCACCATTGCTGAGAAGTGCGTCTTGGACCAAGATCGTTGGACCAGTTGAATGTCTCCAAGCGCTGTCTGGCATGAGCGTGGCGGCTCTTCCTTCGTACACGCCCAGAAGCAAAGAGGCAGCAAATCACTAAAGACAACGATGGCGTTCGCCCATAGATGGTGATGCTGGCACAAGGCATACACAGAATTTTGTTGGAGGACAGTGTAGAGGCTGTCGAAGTCGCTGAGAACGGCAACAGGGCGGCAAGATGAAGGATAAGAACGATATACACGGGCTCACGCCCATGGGTTTCTTTTTCTCTTTTCCTCTTTTTCTTTTCTTCCACAGCGTTTAATGATCGACTCTTTGCGTTTTGCCGTCGTCTGCGAAGTACACAGGAATTGATTGATTTTGATTGATTGATTGGTTGTGTGTCTCGCCCTCCGTCGTCTTTGCGGCCCCCCTTGTATAGATCTTGACCCTTTCCGGGATCTGCTTCTCCAGCATTGCTGCAGATTCCTCTTTATCCCTCTCCGGTTCCTACGCAAGTATCTCATCACCACTGCTGCCGATTCGACATCTTTGCCCCTGTTTTGCCGACTGGTTGCTGTTCCCATTCGAAAGCAAGGCCCCGATCTGCAGCAGCACAGCTTGCTTCCATCAGCAGCAGCCGTTCATCTGGTGGTGGCCCCTCCCCTCACCCTCATCTCACCCAGCTTCACGCAGGCCTGCTTCGTGTGGGTGGAATTTCGCAAGCTGTGGGTTTGTTTCAGCGCCCTTTGAAAGCCACTTGGCCAACCAACGGGCCCGGAGATCGAGCAGGAGATCGCTCATCAGCGAGAGAGAACGCCCACCTCGACGGTCTCACACGCAATAGGCCCACGCCCCCCCCTGGCGCAAATCCTGGTCGTCTATTCGACCCTGCCCTCGCCTAACCAATCCCCGCGCAACCCGGTTTAGGCTGTGCAGACTCGAACTGTGTGAGCAAGAGCCAGAGAAGTGTGGTCCACTAAGACAGTCCAACAGAGGGCCAGTCCGGTAGCAGCAAAGCACCACCAGCTTGTGGACAAGGGAGGAGAAGAAAAAAAAAAAAGAAAAAAAAAAAAAAAAAAAAAAGCTCTCGCCCGCTCTGCCGCACGGCGTCCCGCGACTGACTCTTCTCTTTCATCACACATTTTCTTCCTCTTCCACCTCTTCTTTTTTTACTCGTCACGGCTGCTACGGTTCTTCCCTTGCGCGTGTTTCGGACTATCGGCTGAGAGAGTTCACGGTTGTTTTTGCCGGCGCCTAAAAGTAAGTTGAATGCATTTCCTCTGCCTTTCCCGCCGTTGCTATGGATGAGTGTCTGGTTTTCTGGGTGGTTTTTTCTTTCCCGTTCGTGTGAAAATTTCCCCCTCTTGTCCGTGCCCCAGATCTGGATAGTGGGAGGTTTGCGCGCGAGCAAACGGACGATACAAGATTCGAATTGGACACCAGCGCTGCTGCTGCGACGACGACTATCGCCATTCTCGACAAGCACCACCACCGAGGCAGACTGTCTCCAGCAATGCGCCCTCGGCCGCCGGCTGCTGGACGCCTCAATCGATCGATGAACCGGCGGGTGCGCCTTCAGTTACTCGTGCCACATGCGGCGAAAAAAAATCTTGCGGCATCGTATCCCACCGTTGCGCCGCCGTCCTCTGGTTGTCTCCTGGGGCCTCAACAGCCTTGCCACGATCCAGAACCTATTCAGCTGGCTTCCTTCGACTCCCCTTGCAAACGATCTTTCAATCGCTACCGTCGGAGTGCCTCTGCTTTGCGGCAGCACTTCGGCCGTCGTTCGCAGGGATGAGGCTCGATCTCGATCCGATTTGCACCCCACTTCGCCGACCCATTGCCGTGAGAGAACGGCGGCTGAAATACCAGAGATGCATCCCGACAGGATGTTGGTCGTCGATATGAGAAGAGTCATTGAAGATCATCGTCGAGTCGGTGGACGATGCGGTTGTTGTGGAGGCTGATGTCGGCCTTGCCTATGTCGACGTCGCTGAGAGACATGGCTGGGTTCGAAGTGTTGTTGGATCGAGATATATGGCTGCTCGTGCCTCGGCCAGCTGCATGGCAATCTGCTACCCAACGATGAACATTGGCATGTCTATCCTCCTTTTATCCCGGGCTGTGGATGAATGAATCATCAGTCGGTTTTGCAAGCACGCCCACAAGCCGTACCAACGACAAACGGGCTCTTTTGCCCCTTGCCCTGGAGGAGTTGCATGCGATTGGCGCGTTGCCCGTTTGCCACCATCCAACTCACCTCCTCATGGGCTATTATACACTTTTGGCGAAGCATCTCTACCGCATCATTGGAACCATTCTTGCTTGCGTTTGCAAGTTCTTCAAGACGGAGTGCTCCTGGCGGTGCCATCGGAGCTATATATATCCTGGAGAGGACGATCATCTACGATCTACGAGCATCCAACCAACCACGGCGGACACATGACACATCGAGACAGGGGATCCAGCACGACGGGAGACGTTGGGCATGGAGGCTCCCAATCATATTGCGACTATCTCAGAAACGTGTATTCAGAGAGGAAATGCGCAAGGAACATAGACGTTGCGAGATATGTGTTTCGCTACTTTGATCCAGGCATCTGCTCTGGGCATCTAGAGTTCATGGGGCATTTGGGGCTGTTTCTATCACCCTTGGCATCTCATTCATCCATGGCATCGGGCAGCTGATCTCTGCAGCCATCAAACGCTAACGGCCATTCGCTAGGTTCTTCGTGATTTCGAGAGCGCTCCAACTGTTTTACCACACTCCTTTAGGATTCTCGGTAGAACATACGATCGGTCGACGAATCATTATTTCGACTTCATCTTACAGAAAGTCGTTAACCGTCCCGTCATCGCATCTGTACCCGTCTCGAACGCAGCGTAACGGCGTCTTGAGAATACTTCACCTTCTATTTCCTATCTTCGGAGCCTGTATTTATACTAGTCTCCTCTTGCCCCCCTGCTCAATCTTCACTCTGCGATTCGAACGTCTCATCGCCATTTCGATTCCATCAAGGTTGGCCTTCGATTCCGCTCCATGCTGCCCTCCGGTGGCTCACTGCTAATGATCACTTGCCCGCATAGTCTTTGAGCATACTCTTGCCAAGGAACAACAGCCTGATAGCCAGTACAGCAATCAGACTTTGAAGCAGATTACAAACTCGTCTTCAGAAGCATTTTACAATTTGGTACGTATCAAGGCCTCTCTTCGTTTTTCCTTCTTCTCCACCTCAAGCGTCATGGAAGATGCATGCCACAAGCAGAGTGCATCGTTGTCCTGTATCTCTTTGATAAAATCCGGGGCAAGTCGTCTTCTTCGAGTCAAGTGGCTCTTTTTGGAATTCATCTGGCCATGGAGTCATCATCAGGAGGCCAAATCGGTCATCCAGTTTGATCCGACTCGACTTCGATGTCCGGCTTGGATCCTCCTTGTCTCCTCAGGGCTCTGCTATTTTTCTTCTCAAGTGGCAACACCCTTGGGTGGCTCCTGCCTCCGGAGGGCAGTTTCCCATTCTTGTCGCCCTATGCCCTTTCCGCACACCAAACGTCTTGAAAAAAATTATTTCAGCTGCTTCATCACCCCTCGTTCTGTGTGCACACATCATCTTCACGTTTTCAGCATCTTTCCACATGGAGCATCAGAGTTCTGAGATGGAGTTGTTCTTCTCGGATCCCGAAGAAGCCTCTCAACTGACTCCGCGACCATTGCATCTTCTAAACTCTCCCTTCCCCGGCCCAGACGCTAACCAAACCTCTGGCTCTAGTCCAATGTCTTACCAAAACGGAACTCCCCCTGCCACCGACATGTCGGTTGTGCCCCCTCCTACCGGTCCTACTCAGGATCAGGCCAAGACCACCCTTTGGTAAGAATACAAGGCTTTCAAGGCATCGCTCGGGACTAACACCGGGGCTAGGATGGGCGAGCTCGAGCCATGGATGGACGAGAACTTCATCAAGGGCGTCTTCCTCTCTGCCGCTGGAGAGACGGTCAACGTCAAGGTTATCCGTGACAAGAACTCTGGGTGAGTGTGCTTCCAAATCAACCCGCAGTCGAGATGATGTGTTGTGGAAGAATCACAACAACTGCTTCCTCGCTGTAACATGGTCCATACAAGGACACGTAGCTGACTCTTCTTCCCTCCTTCAGCAACGCCGGCTACTGCTTTGTCGAGTTCGCTACGCCTGATGCTGCCACCAAGGCTCTCGGCCTCAACGGAACGCCTGTGCCCAACAGCTCGCGCCAATTTAAGCTTAACTGGGCTTCTGGCGGCGGTTTGGTCGATCGACGGTATGTGTGACACTTCTAGCGCTTAGAGTTCAGCCTTCTTCAGCCTGCTTCAGCCTTTTCCCTCTCCTCTTTTTTTTCCCTCCTGCTCACGCTGCACCGGTACCTCTCGCGTACCAGTGCAGTACAGCTCACCGCTGTGACTCTCCTTCTAGTACCTTTCCGGTACTTGCTCAGAGTTGCAACAGTGACATTTGCGCCTCGGATTTACTTTCTTCACTTTCAGCCACTCCGTTGCCCTCTCCTCCTTCTGCCTTGCCTTGTCACCTCTTTTTATTTCCCTGCAGTTTCCCTCTCTTCATCCTTCCCTCTCTCCACCCTTCACGATCGTTCTCTCCCTTCACCACGCAGTTGCCTCTGCCTTTCTTCTTTCTGCTTCTTTGAGGAGTTTAGCCATCAGCGCCTGCTTCTTCGTACTTGGTTTCTAATGTCTGCCACCGATAGAGACGATCGCGGTCCCGAGTACAGCATCTTCGTTGGCGACCTTGGCCCCGAGGTCAACGAATACGTCCTGGTCTCTCTCTTCCAGGCTCGCTTCCCCTCGTGCAAGTCGGCCAAGATCATGACCGATGCCATGTCCGGCCAGAGCCGCGGCTACGGATTTGTTCGCTTCTCTGACGAGAACGACCAGCAGCGTGCCCTCGTCGAGATGCAGGGAGTTTACTGCGGCAATCGTCCTATGAGGATCTCGACTGCCACTCCCAAGAACCGGTAAGTAGCGCCCCTCGAGCCCTTTATGTGCCATCTGAGCTTTCCTTGTCTTCTTCTTGACAACCCTCCCATCTACGCACACTTTCTCACCGTGTTCCTCCCATCTCCTCTCCCTATCGAATCGACACGACTTGACCTGCATCTGACATGACTATTCTCTATTACAGTGGAAACCACGGCTTCGGTCACGGACACCAGGGCGGCCCCATGATGGGTGGTGGCATGCCTCAGCAGCAGATGTGGGGAGGAGTGCAAGCGTTCCCCTACGGCGGTGGCGGTGCTGCTGCTGCTGGTGGTAACTTCAACCCTGCCACCCAGATGAACCAGTTCACGGATCCCAACAACACCACCGTGTTCGTCGGCGGCCTCTCTGGATATGTGACGGAGGACGAGCTCCGCTCTTTCTTCCAGGGATTCGGCGAGATCACCTACGTCAAGATTCCCCCCGGAAAGGGCTGCGGCTTTGTCCAGTTTGTCCACCGCCACGCCGCCGAGATGGCCATCAACCAGATGCAGGGCTACCCCATTGGCAACTCCAGGGTCCGACTCAGCTGGGGCCGATCTCAGAACAACTCTGGCGTCGGAACTCCTTACCGCCCTGCTCCTCCTCCGCCTCACTACATGGGCATGCCTGGTCCCGCTCACGGCCCTGGCCCTAACCCATACGGCGGACCTCACCACTTTGGCGGTCCTGCTCCGGGTCCCCAGGGTCCTTCAGGGCCTCCTGGTCCCGCTGTCCCCCCTCAGGTAGGAAATGGCCCCTGATGCTCCCCGACAAAGCTGTGACAGACAGCAAGCAGACGACGGATAGGCTGACCGGTGATTTCTCTTAGTAAAGTTTGAAGAGACATCTGGCCATTATTAAGGCGGCTGGTCTCTGACCAGCTTCTGGGAACTGGACAAGGTTTTGTCGACTCTCATTTGATGCTCTCCTTTCTTATTATACACAGCCATTTGATGGGCTGACCTGGGGCAACATTGGGGCGTTGGACTGATTTGCGTCGTTCGGGCACGTCGTCTTTTGTCATTTTTTCTCACGCTGAAATTACTGCTTCCGCTTTGACGACACTCTGCACCCCCCCATTTTCTTGAGTCTCAAAATCACGACCGGCGTTGGAGATTTCAGTTCTCTGGGGAACTGTCACCAGTCAAATTTGATTACGTGCTTGATTTTATGATTCCCCAAGCAAATGGATGCCGTGCTTTTGCGTGTGATTTCTTGTTTTGTGACGGTCTTCATTAGTGCTGTAATTCCCTTGAGCTCCTTCATCATTCCCTGACTACCCTCTCCTAGCTTGACTTTCTTCCCTATACGTTGCTGTCCTACTAAAAGCCCTTGTTGTCATGGGTATATTAACCGTCCCTCATTGTCTTATCTGGAGAATATTCTCGAGTTTATCCACAATGACTTCAGCAGTCTCGTAAATGTCACTGTTATTTCTTTCCTTTAGCAATTGAAAGCATTGCTTGTATACCAGAGGAGCCGTAAATGTCCACCGTTGATTGACTGATCGTTGACTTGGCTTTCTGTGTGCTTTAGCCACCCGTTTCATGTCCTAATAATATGAACTTGCCACACAGTCTCTCGAAATGTCTGATCTTGAAGTTTTAAGCATTGCAGCAGTCGTGGTGGGGCCTTTGGGTGAGACACATGATATATCATAGCGTTTAGTATGGTCCTTTGAATACTGATATAAACTAGGGAGACCTGGAAGCATCTTCAGGGTGTTCAATGTTAACTTATCCCACTTTTTCTGTGGATTGAGTCTCTCTTCGGCAATTGAGTTGACTGACCTTTGCTTTGTGCTTGGAGGTTCTAGCCCTTTGTATGTGTGGTGTGGGTAAATAGGATAATGCGAGTGTTAAATCCTGTTGGACTGCCTGTCTGTATAATTGCTAAGTTGGGAGTTACTTAGTGCCTGATGAAAGAGAAGCTGAATGCTGAATCCGGGTACATTGCTTGACTTGAGACGTGCACTGCTGTTGTGACGTGTTATACCGCCGACTTGTCGTTCTTTATGCGGCCATAATGCGTATCTGGATGCTGGCGACAGGGGGGCGATTAGGAGGAGGGGCGGAATCAAATGCCTGTTCGGCGAGGAGTCATACGGCTGTCCCACTTAGACCTTGGACAACAGCGCTGCCATAGAACAGGGAAATTTGTTGGTATAGTATTTGGCTAGATATAGGTATATAAGGTATGTACAAGTATATATATGGCGAATTTCTTGGCAACGGGAATGGCTGGATTGATACCTAACCGAATATCTTGAAGCCCAAAGATTGTTTAAAGCAGCCATGTCGTCCAAGCCAAATATTCGAGTCGAAACTGCTCGCGAAGAGGACATGCCGCGATGCATGGAACTCGTCCTCGACGCTTTTGGCCCCTTTCCCAATTTCGACCTCATTGGGGGTCCCAACACCGAAGAGAATCGAAAGCTGAATGCGGAACGCCATTTGCGTGGTTATAGGGAGCATCTGGAGAAGTATCCTTCCGTGTCACCGGGGATCAAATGCGTGTACACGGATCCCCAGACGAGAGAGGAGAGGATTATTGGGTTTGCGGAGTGGTTTGTTTGGGATAGGGAGAGGACTGAAGAGGAGTACATGGTTGAGAACTACATTCTGCGGATGGAGTGGATCGAGGATGAGGTGAAGCGGAAGAGGTGTCTGGATGCGATGGAGCCGGAGATTGCGCTGCGGAGGAAGATAATGAAGGGGAGGCCGTTTGCGCTGCTTTGTTATATGTGTGTTGATCCGGGGTATAGGAGGCGGGGGGCGGCGACGGCGTGTGTGCGGTGGGGGATGGAGAGGTGTGCTGAGTTGGGGATCCCGGGGTATCTTGAGGCGAGCGAGGAGGGGATGAAGACGTATAAGACGCTTGGGTGGGAGGTGTATGAGGGGGGTGAGGAGGTAGGGAAGATGATGTTTCCGCCAATGGTTTGGTGGCCTGCCAATGCGGAGAGGTGGTGAGGCTTTGGAGGAGTATGTGAAGGGTTTGTGGTGGTAGGAAGGAGTGCGGCTTGGTATGTTATTTATTCGTTCGAATCGAGGCAGCGTGGTTGGGACCTTGTCGGTATATGGATTTGGATATTGTAGGATCGATCGTTTGAATGGGCTTTGGGGCTTCGGGGTGTGGATTGCTATCAGTGGAAGAAGCTGGTTAGCGAGTGGTTGGTATAGAGGAGAGTAGTAGCAGTGTGAGAGGGGACGAAGATAGGAAGGGGGCTTTTTTGGTGATGTTTGGTGGAATGCAGAGATTTGCATATGCCATGTTATTCTATATTCGTTCGGTTCGGACTCGGTGTTATGGAAGTTCTGCCAATATATTCATGTTGTAAAGGGGTATCGATCGCTTCGGTGGAAGTCGGGTATCGGTATTCGCAGTGCGTCGTCGAGCATGGTAAGGCCACCCTTTTACGAGAAAGAAGTATCAGCAATGATCTGAGAGCAGAGGGTTGAGCGGATAAGTTGGTCAATAGAACATTATTCCCGTGGTTGCCTAGAGGAAATCACTTTGGTGCAAAACCTGGGAGAAGGAGTCAGTCATGATCTCACCACTGTTGTTATGTTTCTCTTCTCTGTGTGATATCTGCCTCAGCTTCGTTTGTTTTGGTTTGTGGCTCAGTAGTTGTTTGGTACACGATCGAGTCTGCTGCTGACTCTTGTGTCTGGTGCGGTAGCTGGGCGTTCAGCTATGCTCCGTATTAGCAAATCTCGGGGGAAAGGGAAGCGTTGAATGGGTATTCGATTATTGTATGGACCCCGGCTATACAAGGTCCTGTTGGGTCGAAATCATGAGCATCTTGACTATAAAGCTTTAGACAAGAGCTCAGGGGTAGTCTCCGAGACCAGGGTTAGTTATATGGCGCACCTGACGGGCAGTGGAATCACCTTCAACTTCCCCATGGATACTTCCTTCTTGGAGATAATGGTAGGTGGTAATGATAGGAGTAGTACCAATGGCATGGTAGAGTATAACAGAGAAGTGAGAGGGAAAGGTGGTCGTTGGAGTGCAGACGCAGGGCTGGCGGACGTCGACAAAGGTAGATTGTAACCCGAAAAGCAACGACTTGCTGAACAGGTCGAAACCAGAGACAATAAGGATCTGGCAGCTGGAAGAAGGAGGCTTTGCTTGGAGAAATGCTTGCTGTCGCTTACTCCTTGTGGACCATGACGGACGCAATCTGTACATTTGTCGATGTATCGATAGTGCCCCATACTGACGGCCCAACTTCAAAGTCGAAGTATAGAGAAGAAGAAGGCCGTAGGCGAGGCCAAGAGCACCGTCGCTAAGAGAAGACATGTACCCAAATGCTCCCAAGTATGTGTGTTGAGTATGCCAGGGGGGCTTTGCCATGCATTCTTTGGATGTTGCTTGGCTCACATTTTCCCCTAAGTCAATTCTCAACGAAATTGTTGAACAGAGCGTCGGTAAGCATAGTCTGTTGACTGGTTCGTTCTTGGGGACGAGACAAGAATGATCTCAGCATCACCAAGCTTCGTATCGTTCTATGCCGTCGTCTGCGGACACTCGGTGGTCGAGAAATCTTGTGATTGTTCGTTGTGGCCTATGTCAAGGAGATTGTTATTAGAGTCTGCTGTCGAAAAATGATGCTGTCGAACAGGGAGCAGGGAGATCTCGGAGTCGGTGTACTCTAAGGAGAGACTCGCCTTTGCTTGGTGGAATCATCCACTCACTACCATTTTGTGGATCGAATAGAGAACAGTGAATACTGTACAGATGGTTTTCCCAATGATTAGCATGCGAATGATACCAAGTTTTTGAAGTACGAAGCAGAATGATGCGGAGGCGGTCGCAAGGAAGGAAAGCTCAGGCAGGTGAGCAAGGCTGGTCGAATTGGCCACTAGAAGAGTTAGTCACCCGAGAGTCAATGTCGTCCTCTGTATTTCTTCTTGCTGAGGGCAGCCAAAAGATGGATTCTGGGAGGTGGTTCCGAGTGTTGCTCAGCTCTCGAAGGCGGTGGAACTTCTTCGTTTGACGGGCTTTGGTAGCGTGGAGAAGAGAGGGCTGACCGAGACCTTTGTGTGTCGATTTGGGAGCTTGAGGACATGCATGTTGCTCTGCTTGCGCCATCATGGTGTCTGAGCAGGTATTATATTTGAGAGAAGAATGGAACAAGTGATGAGAGACCTGGTGTTTGCAAAGATGACTGGCTACTACGTCAATTGCTAAGGCACGTAGCCGCCCGATTGGAAACGAGAACTACGTACCTACCTTATGTATGGCCTCAGGTCGACGTTACCACAGCCTCTCGTGGCATGATTGTCGTAGATCTCTAATCCTACAGCTGTACAAGCATAGAAATGGCTCTGTAGAGATGAGGATAGAGAAATTTCTTTCCATTGATGCTACAAAAAGCTCTACCCCTTTTAAATGCGACACTTTGTACGGCTCAGCCGGCGAAGCCAGATATCTCCAGGTGCAATCTTGCCGCAAAGCTCCCCTCTCCAACCACTTCTTTAGTCTTCTCTTCAAGGCATTTCCCTTCGTCTACTTCTCGTCTAGTTGACACTCAACATTCTAACCCTTGAATTTGGCTCCCGTAACCCTGGTATGGACGGCGTTCGGCGTGGGGGATTCGATCGAAGCGTTCGTTTGGCGATTATCGAAGGATCATCGTGATAGCAACTTGTTTGCAGGATGTGGTTTCGTCCGCCGTCGATGCTGTCGGTCTCGCTTTCGGTACCTGGATTATCTCGTAAACCTGTCGACTGAATCTGCTCTTGTTCGCCTCCTACCCCGACCCAAACTTGTAGTCTGTGAGAAGTGTCAACGCCAAAGCTCACCAGAGGACACAGTTTTCGAGGCATCAATGCTGATATTTCTCACTTCCTCGACCGGTAGTTATTGAGGTAATAGCTGGTTTCGTCAGTCGGGGTCTGAAGACGACTCGTTTGATCCCGACGTAGTTGGGACGGGTGGCGACCGGCCGCCAACAGTAACCTTTAGTAAAGATTCTTTCAGTTACCGAGGAAGAATTGGTAGATGCTCGATTCAATGACCTCATTGTCGAATAATTCCCAGGTTTGCGTGTCTCGTCGTCATCGAGTGACAACTGCTAGACCTCTTTGTCTGTTCCATCGTTCGGTGTCGATATGGACGGGAAGAAGGCACGATCTCGGAGTAATTTTGACGACACTATCTTCACATGGAGCAATTAAATGGCTGCAATGCATACTACTGACTTTTTATTGCGTTTGAAATGGTAATGAATGGTATCTAGGTCATTGGTGCTGCCCGAGGGTCGATTATCTAGTGACAAAGACGCCCCTTCGAGACAAGGACGAGATATTCAGCGCCAAGGTAATAATAGCTTATTCCTACACGAAACTGAAGGACAAATACTACAGATTCCCATCTACTCGACCACAAGACCATGCCACCAAAGCTTACTACCTTGCCCTCAGCACTTTCCCTCTCTCTCTCTCTCCCTCGCAGCAGCACCAGCAAAACCTGAGCCACACCAAAGCGCAGAGCAGTTCAGCCGACCAATGAGAAAATTGACACACGGCTGGCCAATGAGAAAATCGGCACAGCTGGCAGAAGTTTGGCGAGCACAATTTCTCGAAACCTGGTGCCCCTATTTTTCTATTGGTCAGCACATGGCACACTTTGAAAGGTACGTACCTGTTGAAGGAGAGCAGTGGTGCCTGAGGTTGGGCTGGGAGAGGTTGGAGGGATGGGAGGCGCTGGAAATGTGGTGGAAATGGCGATGTTCGGGGAGAAGTATTTGGTCGAGAGGCCAGGATTCGTTGAGAGAGCAAGCTTGTCTGTGGGTAGATGACGACGAGTAGCCTTTACATTCATGGGATTATCTATCCATTATCTGAAAGACTTCTTGTGCCTGTTGCCGTGAGAAAACGTAGGGTGTCTGCAGGCTTCCCGTGTCCGGTCGGTGCTTTCCCAGAGATATGGCGTCCTTTACGAAGCTGTTGTAATCTATGGCATACTATTCTCATCTTGAAAGCTTTTGAAGCCATCTGGCATGTTTAGAAAACCTCAAGAGTCTGTAGTCAGGGTTTATGGCTAAGTGTGCGGGACACGAGGTTTCGGCCCCCGCCGTGTTCAAGGCAGGATTCTGGCGCTCGAAAACGAGTACACAATTTTTTTACGACAGAAAGACCATATATTTTTGTACTGTTGAGACTCTGGAGAATAGAATTTCTAATGTGGATATTTTCCTCGATATAGGCGTTCCTCAACAGTATCTTGACGTGTGCTATCATGATCCTTGGTTCCATCCTTGTCTCCCCACGCTGCCCCAGCCTTGTTCCTTTGTGTGTGATATGTCTCAGTGTTTCGAAGACGAGGGGTGGTCGGATAATGGGCTTCTTTGGTGTCAGAAGTTGGAGAATATGGCATATCATAGGTCTCTCGTTGGGTATCTTAATAGCGAGCCTGTTCTTGTGTGTGATGACCGGGAGCTTCTTGGGGCAACCTAGTTCTGCTTTCCTCTGTGGTAACTGTTAGTCTGACACTTGAAGGCGTCTTTGGGGCCATAATAATCTTGAAGGAGATGAACCACCTAATATCAGCTCCTCCTTGGACATTACCTGCTGACGCAATGTATGAAAGAATATAGGGCTGATGTCCTGTCTGCTCGCACGAGAAATGGTTGAATAGCATTGGAGAAGACGAGAATCATGGAGTTGGAAGAGATCTGCCGGACCGTGTTGTATGATGGCTTGATCCTCAGAACAAAGCTATACGGCGTGCCCGTCTAGAAACGCTTTCTGTGTCCGGGGATAGATCCAGTGCTCTGGGGAAGGCGGTCTTCGCAGTCCTTCGAAACAGATACATAACAGGATTCTGGTGAGCGTTTTCGGTAGTCAACTTGGTGGTCCAGCCGTCTGGTTGCGCCGCCATCGAGCGACAAGGAAGAGATGCGATCGGAAACACAGTCGAGGAGATCCAGGCCTATTGTTTCCAAGATGTCAGAAAAGGACGT